AGGCTGCTTTGATTTGACTGGCTGTAAACAACATAGATCTTTCTTTGGTGTAAGCATAAATATTTTGTAAATGGTGAGATAAGAGGAAAGGAAGTAACACTGATCTAAAAAGGATTTGGAGAAAAAAGAGAATTGAAGAGGAACAAACCATGTTATTCATGAATTTTTAACAAATTTCAGACAAGATAGCAAAAAGCTATTATATGCTTCATAATGTAATGGATGAAAAGACAAAATAATTATAGCAATCATTCATCAAAATTATTTCTTGTATTCAACACCAATATTCTGAGAAAGAAGTACTGGTGTTCTGCTGACTCTCCTCAATAATAAAAGCCTGGGAGGAAGAGAATTTATCATGTCATGTAACCAGATTTTATAACTATGTCATTCAACATCGGTAGCCAGCACAATGAACCACAGGGGTACAAAGTAAGGATTGTTTCATCTACATTTTATTTCACACTTCCTGGCATTTGAATAATCTGTATGAAATACTTAAATGATATATTACAAATATATTTTGTTCATATAATATATATAGTTATAAAACAAAAGATAATATACTACATATGCTACACTAAGCAAAATAGTACTCTGTGTTAAAATAGCTGTGCTAGATCTGAGCTACAAATGCACGGGAATAGACAACCTGAAATAAAACCTTCACTCTACATTTTGGTTTTGGTATTTTTTTTTTTGGCTAGGATGAGGTTAATTTTCAAAAGTTGCCAACTGGGCCTAAACCACGACAATATTTTTCATTTTCTAGAAAACAAGAGTATCTACAAGACTTTTGCTGCACATTTCCCACAGTAAGTGGGAGGTTATTCCTGTAGCCCAAAACAATCTTGCCAGATAGGTAAGAAAAAGAGAAAGAGCTGACCTTATAACAAAAAATGTATTAATAGCACTGACCCTATGCTATTGATATTATAAACTAGATCGTGGAGCATCAAAATACTGCAACCAAATAGAAGCAAATGAGAAGTCCAGTAGTGGACATCACAAATTTCTGACCAGATTAAAGATTTCTTTTTTTTTTCCTCAGACAATTAAAACAATTACTGATGGAAATGGTGTGGTAGGAGCATATGAAGAAATAAGTTCCCGGTATTAATAAATAACACACCGTCAGTACGTAAGAAAGAACAAAAGAACTCTACCCACCCTTATGACAACATGTAAAAAACTGATTGAATCTTACTTTACCATAAGTTTGTGGTTTTGTAGGAGAGGTACTTTATCCTGGGAAGAGTATATGGACACTGCCTAGTTGTGTAGGACTGGGGTCAGGAAGGCCAAGGCATGCATAGAGTTAAACTTGCAAAGGAACACAAAGAATAATAAGTGCTTCCACAGCTGTGCCAGACAGAAAAGGTAGGTCAAAGCATACTCCCCATGATGAACAAGACTGGAAAGCTGGTAACAGATGAGGAGAAGGCTGTAAGTGCTCAAGAACTTTGTTGCCTCAGTCTTCACTCTTCCCACCCTACATGAGTCAATGGATTGCAAGACAGGGACTACGGACGGAAAGTCCCTCCCACTATAAGACAAGATCAGGATCATCACCACCTGATGAACCTGAACATACGTAAGTCCATGGTACCTGACAAGACGCATCTCAGAGTATTTGCCACTCTCCACAATACCTGAAGTATCGTGGCAGCCCTGCAGAGAAGGACTTGGGGGTACTGGTGGACGAAAAGCAGGACTTAAGCTGGCAATATGCGCTTGCAGCCCAGAAGGCCAACCATGTTCTGGGCTGCATCAACGTAAGTGTGGCCAGCAGGTCGAGTGAGGTTACTCTCCTCCTCTGCTCTGCTGAGACCTCACCTGGAGTACTGTGTCCAGCTCTGGAGTCTTCAGCACAGGAAAGACATGGACCTGTTGGAGCAAGTCCAGAGGAGGGCCACAAAAATGATGAGAAGGCTTGAACATCCCTCCTGTGAAGAAAGGCTGAGAGTTGTTCAGCATGAAGAGAACGCCCTGGGGAGACCTTACTGTGGCCTTTCAGTACTTAAAGGGGGCCTATAAGAAAGATTGAGACAGTCTTTTTAGCAGGGCCTCTTGTGATAGGACAAAGCATAATGGTTTTAAATTGAAAGACAGTAGATTCAGACAAGATATAAGGAAGAAATTTTTTACAATCAGGGTGGTAAAATACTGGAACATGTTACCCAGAAAGGTGGTAGATGCCCCATCCCTGGAAGTATTCAAGGTGAGGTTGGATGGGGCTTTGAGCAGCTTGATCTAGTTGAAGATACCCCTGCTCATTGCAGGGGATTTGGACTAGAGGACCTTTAAAGGTCACTTCCAGTCCAACTATTCTATGTATAAATAATACATTTATACATCTATCATAGAGTCAAATTGATATCATAGAGTCCGAGCTTAAGTCATATCATTCTTTAACAAAAATAGTTACTTATTGTAAATACATGGTAAATGGCCACTCCATTTATGCAGGCTTTGTTACAGTGAGAGATAACAGCAACCATCTGTGATGGGCTTGCATTACTTGTATGTACTGAAACTTCCAAGTCTTCCTGTGTCTGAGGTAATGTACCATTTGGAAAAAAAAAAAACAAACAAAAAAACAGTGATTACAAAAATCTATCAACAAAGTTGCTATCAGTAACAGGGATGAAGACAAGTGGTATAGGAAGCTCTATCTTCCCCATTTATTTTCTTTTTGTGAAGAGCCAATTTAAACCAATTTATTTAAAAAAATACGAGTTAAGATTTGATTCCTTCTTCTGAGTTCTCATCCTATATGTATTTAGAGAACATTAATCTATAGCAAACCAGTAGTGTCAGCGATTCAAATGCAAAGCCTATTTGCATTCAGCTAGTGAAACACTTCAATTGGAAAGAATTTCCTATCAGATAGAATCAAGAATACAGGGACAGTGACATCAACTCTATAGGAAGTCAGTTAAGCATCTGCTCAGTATTATATAAAGTTAGCTTAGAGACAAAGGGAGGGAAGAAAGACAATCATAAGAATTCAAAGCAAATGCTACCAGGTAAATGCAGGCAGGCACAGAGCAATACACAGACAACCTTATAGTAGGTTTATATTGTGACCTCCCTACTGCCCACACAATGATCCCAATACAGGAATACAAAACCAAGACTACACTGCATGAGATAGGGGCATGAAAATTGCCAGTAAAATACACTTGTTGCTTTTACCACATGCTAAACTTGCTCAAGAGTCTCTGTAACTCTGACTGTGAAAAGACTCAGGACTTTAAACATCACACATTTTTAAAGGCTAGAGGATCAGCGAAGTTTTATTCCCATAGAAACTGAACAGTCTTTTCATATACACACAAAACATGAAATAAAAGAACTGCCTTCAACACTGAACTTTGAGATAGATTGACAGACAAAGAAACACACAAATGCACACGCACACACAGGTGGTAAATATGGTCTCATATCTTTAGAACTGTTTCTTGTCATGTATGAAGGAAGCAAGGATTATTAATTGCATCTTTTCCCTTTTAAAACACTTCTCAATTAGCAAGACAGAAAATTTTCTATGGAGCATATAGCATTTAGGATGTGGTGAGCATGTAGGCAGAGCAATAGACATGTAGTATTTGAATAGCTGAATTAATGGAAGAAACAAAGAAGAAATTACACTGTTAGATTGCTTACATACTTCCTTTGGGGTTTTGTGATATGTACTTTGTGTTTGTGGCAATTACAGTAACTGAAAAAACTTTTTGTGAGTCTCTACAAGCATATTTTTCTTCCAGGATAATGCCTTTTCGTATAAAGGTGGAACAGATCTGTGCAAACGTTTGAAGGAGTAAGAGTGAAGCTGATCCTGGAATACATCTTCTGTTTTCACCACTGTATGGTAACTGCTTTTGTGAACTGAATGTTAATAGAAGAACTAGCAATAAAAAAAAACACCAAAATCACCTTGCTCTTTTCAGTGGAGAAGGTTATAATAGCTCCACATATGGCCACAGGCAATGAACTTTGAAGCTCCTGACTGGAGACTCCATAACTGGAGTTATGGAGACCATAAACTAAATCTGTGCATTCCCACTCTCCAGCAAGACAAGTCTCCACTTATTCTAGATGCCATTAGCCACAGCACAAATAACTATATTTAAATAACTCAGAACAACAACAACAACAAAAAAAAATTAGCTATCCCACACATCATACCTCCTCTCAGAACATCAACCTTGCAGCACTATCAGCAAGCAGCCTGATTCAACAATGGGAACTGAGACTTTTACTTGCATGAAGTAGGCAAGTAGGCTGGTACTTAAGCCATGGGCCACCTTTTAGAAACAAAGGGTGAGACTTTCTTGATAAGACACAAATGACTGTGTAAGAAATTGAATCAATTCAAAAAAATTAACACCATGAAATTTCAGAGCTATTGCCTCTATGTTCTTAGAGAAAACACAGAACAACTAGGAATCACTTCAGATATGGAGAAGCTATGGAGTTCCTATCAAGTACTATCACAATGAAGTCTAAGGCATCAGTCTATTCCAAAGGATCTGAATCACAGATAAACTGTAAATAATTAATGCTCTCTCTCTGACAAACATTGGAATTGTGCTACTCTATCAGAAACTCTACTATCTCCTAAGATACAGAATAAAAGTCCAACTGCTTTCCCCTAAGAGCCAAATAAATTATTTTAATCATTCAAATTACATTATAACCAGAAAGAAGATAACTGATGCACAAAAGGCAAGAAGAGCAAACCAATGAGAACAAGCAAATTGACACTGTTTTCCCCAAAACGGCAATGTAATTTTAAATGATATATTTTGCATAAACAATTCTTGGAGTCTTTAAAAAGAGTTTGTGCACAAGAAGGGTTTGGTAGAGACATCATGCTGGAACTGAAATGTTAAAAACATTTTCAAGACCCTTTAGTTGAGCTTATCCAAGATGTTGGGCCTAAAAAAATCACAAAATTAGACCCAGACAAATACACACATATTTGTTTGTTTTACCTTGCTGCGTTGTGATCCTGTCACCTTAAGGAAGGGCAGGGACAAGAAGCGAAATAGTAATAAGAAAAAGAAGTCCAATGTTTGTGGTTTTTTTTCTGCAGGTGACTGACCAAACACATACACAAAATTGTCTTTTGAACAGATGAATGCATTATTTGAACATAAGTTTCATAGCTACAGAAAAAAATAACGAGAAACAAATGAATAGGATCTTCTCTCAAAAGATAAAGTTGAATGCTGAACAAGGAAGCCATTATAATTTTGGTAAGGAGCACTAATAAATCCATTACTGAACAAATTTGTTCATTCACTTCAATGACTTCCTATTTATAAATTTTCACATTTATAAGCACAAGACTTTTGACATCTAACAAGCATGCATGGGTCAACTGAAAAAAAGCTTATATAAATAAATATTCTTTGTTTAGTCAAAGCTACACCACAAATTGCACTTCCAGAAAAACAAACAAACAAAAAAAGCACTGAAATTTAGATTAATACTTCGATATTTACCAAGAAACAGCAATTTATATATTGGCTATGTTAGCTGTAACTCAACTGGACCAGGACATCTGAGTGACTGAAAAGAATTTGGTATTGGTATTCTTCCTGATTTCTGCATACAGTCCAATAGGGAATATGTACGTAAATAATTCAGTGCTATCTCATGCAGTATCATGTATAAAAAAACATACAGAACATCCGATACGTACAAAACAATAGGAATAAAAGTAAACATGCCCAAGCCACTCCTCAAAAATTAAAACATCACAGATAGTTTTATATCAAGTCAATTAGTATATTTAGAAATATTTTAAAAAGATAATAAAAGCTTGTATTTCATGTTTCTGTGTTTTAGTAAAGATAATAAATATAAATCTTGATTTGAAAGATATAGGACAACTTTTAATGTCAGAATTATAATATACTCAGATATTAAAAATATTAACAAGCTAATCCCCTTAGTGCCCCTCAGAACAGACAATTTTTTATACTCCATTTTATTAATGGAAAAAGAGAGACAGATCCCTGAGCAAACACATGAGGAGGACACATTTTTTGCTCTTGTAATCAACTTACATAGGTATGTTTCCTTACACAGTGATGATCACTAAAAACTCAAAATTAAGCAACAAATGCAAATTTCCTGTTCTCAACACAAGACAAAGCTTGGCAGTATTGATGAATAAAAGCTCACCTTCTCCTAAGAGGCACTAATATATATGCAAACACAAAAATACTATATAAATTACTGCTATTTCATGTAAATGACTACTACAAAACTCAGTATTATGTCAGTATTTTAACCATCTCAGTGTGATACAGCCTATTATCAGACTTCCAGAATAAGTTACTGCCTGCAGTATTTCTGTTTATCAACTAAAAAGTCAATCAGATAAACATATATAAGTTCCATTAAATTACTCTCTATACAATCTTATGTGATACTACGTATGTTTTTGTTTCATTGCTATGAATCTGGTGACTCATATCTGCCAATCCAGCTTCTGACATGCAGTTCACTGGCATAATAAGCTGCAGTAAGCCATGAACCAAGAAACATAAACGTCAGTTGGAAGCTATGAAATAATGTCTAACATGACAAGAAAACCAAAACAGAAGTATAATCTTACTTCAAAACTCTTCACTTCTTCTTCACCATCATCATCTTCTTCATCATGGCAGCTCTGATAGCATGTAGAAAGAAAACATTTACTGATAAATCAGGGAGGGAGTAAGCCTTCCTTCATATTACATATAACTCTGCTTATCTTCATTAATTTTATTAAAACAGAAAAGATGCACAAGACAGCAAAAACTTTACCTTTGCCATAATATCAGCGTAAGCCATATAAAGGAAATCTTCTTCCAGTTTGCTGGTTAATAGAGATAGGAAAGAGAAAAGGTGGAAGATTAAACCCGTTATAGTAGAATTGGAGCACCAAAACATTTTTAAGGATCTTACAAAATTGTAAAGGATTTCTATGCTCATAGAACCATAGAATCGTTTCAGTTCAAAAAGACCTTTAAGAACATCAATTTCAACCATAGATCATTGAGTTCAGCCACGACTCATGGCTGGACTCATGACTCAATTATTTACAGAAGTTGGTTTGGAAATTGAGGATTAGATTAACTAAAAAACCTGAAAATTAAAGCCAGCTACAAACACAGTGCTTAGAAATTCATAAGCACCTTCCAATGAAGAGAACATAGTTAATTTTTCAATTATATCTAGAATATGCTTGTATTTCACATTCAGAATATAACTGTCAATAGAGAACACAGAGGAGAGAGTTGTAGTGAGTCCTGAACACAACATCCATAACTGTGAAAAACTGTACAGGGAACATCTATTTGTGTCTAAAAAATTCCTTATGTTTCATTAGCAGTCATGTTAAAATCTCTTTTGACACACCACAGGCTAGAGAGGTTTGACTGTAATTCAAACTCACCATAGGTACATATGCACACGTTTGACCTAGCCTATGCAATCTCACTTGAACAGAGGCATGTATACCTTCAAATACAGGAGTAATCTGAAAATCTGCATACACTCTGCAGTCTCTCACACCATCCCTACCATTTTTCAGTCAAGGCTGTTCGACTGAATAGCAGAATAAGTTGATGTAAAGGATCAACTCTTTTAAGGCTTTCATCTTCTTCTGGTGGCTCTTCCCCAGGTTTCTTAGGGGGAAAAAGAAATATTTTAAAATTATATATTAGAGGGAAAAATGTTTTACTCTGTGGTATTTATTAAACATGAAATATTCAGATAAATAATTCTGATTTGGACAATCAGGAAGAAACAAGTTCCAAGCAAAGTATTGAAATGCCTGAATCCTGACCCTGTTAATGACCATGAAGATTTACAAAGATGATACCATTTGCAAAGATTTGGATTTCCTCTCCTCATAAAAATTAACCCTCTTTGCTCGATTCTGCAAATAACGTCAATGTTTTACTGCTGTTATACAGAATGAGCAATAACCAGATGCAATCATTTGCTATTATATTGTTTGTTCCTCTCTCTGTTAACAAGCTTCATGAGCTGAAAATTAGAATCTTCTGTTCTAAGTCTTATGCCAGGTATAATATTTGCTGAGGAACTCTGAGAGTCTTTAAGGGAAAAGAAATCCAAACTTGAAGCTTACCAATACTTTCAGACAGAAGGAGCCATATGCTGTCAGGATGCAGAATTTTAGAAGATCACAATTAAATAATGCATCAAATACACTATATATAATTCAATAATGTATACATATGCAAAAATAGTTTTTCTCATGTGGTTATTTTGCTTCCAGGTTTAGAGAGCTCTAATTAGTTCACCCTAAAATAATGTAGTCCTAAATACTATAATGGCAACCACTGAAGCAGTGTTTTGAAAAGAATCTATACAAAATCTGTCTTCTGACTTCTTGCCTTTTGCCAAAAGACATTTCAGAAGGTAAGTTTTGCATGTCACATTATTAATCAAATTCCTTCATATTCAAAATTCCTTAGTAGATATGTTTCTACTAAGCACGTGGTAGCTCAAAGAAAATTGATTGCATAAATTACGCCCACTCTCCCTCTGTTTTCTTCTCACAGTGTACAGTAAAGTACAGATAAAAATAATTCCATGCATTGATAAGACTGCAAGTGTATGAAATTATTACAGTGTCAGATATTATGTTAGCAATAAAGAAGGGTTGCGTGACAGATCCAGTGAATACAGATTTTTTTGCCTTTTAAGAAAAAAAAAAAAGAGTGCTAGTGTCAAATACATCTCTGTAGGAATGCTTATAATCTCTGTGTATAACACTTCATATGTGCCTGTGAAGACCATCTTTTCCTCTTGGGGTCACCAAATGTGACGGGTTGCAGCTGAGATTTCACTTTAAGTGACATATATGCACAATGGTTGCTTCACATGCTAGAGTACGATGAACGTACAAGGTTTATTTCACATTTTGCAATACATGATGATATTTTCAGTATCAGTAACAAGATCTGAACCATACAAATTATAATGCTAGTTATCGCTCACCATTATGGAGGTCTTCCTCTGCTCTTTATTTCAATCTCATTTAGGATGCTGACTTTTCTCTTTAATTAAATGGCTGCATTCTATACTTTGTAATGTTATTAAACAGAATATTTCTCTAATGTTATCAAAACCGATGAAGAAGGGTAGAAACTGTGTTAATGTTTAATACAAGTTATAAGTTTTCATAGACTTAATTCAAATTAAATGTAGGACCAAATTCACCAATGACTGAGCTAAGTAGAACTCATTATTTAGCAAAGCTAGTATAACATACTAGAAATGATTTCCTGACATTTCTGGGAAATGAGTGTTCTTAATTCTCAATGTTTTGAGACACTTGCCCTATGGTTATTTAAGTTATAAAAAGCTTTAACTGAATGTAACATAAGGTGATTAAACAATTAAGTAGGGTAAATTTTAGTTGGCATTTCTAAATGTTGGACATTTAAAAGATTTAATTTTTATATATTCTAATTATTAAATATTTATGAAATATATTTTTCTTATCGATTAAGTCCAGTAATGCCTACCAACAAAAGTAATCAATAATTTTATCACATAAGCCTAATTGTTCCTATAACCTATTTGATTAAACCAGAAGCATTTTAACTACTAATAGAATCATAGACAGGTTTGAGTTGGAAGGGACCTTAAAAATCACCTTGTTCCAACCCCCCTACCATGGGCTGGGACATTTCCCATTGTGGAGCAATGGACGCAATTGCTCAAAAGAAATTAATGCACTGCTCAAAGCCCCATACAACCTAGTCTTGAACACTTCCATTGTTTGGGCATCTACAGCCTCCCTGGGCATTCTGTTCCAGTGACTCACCACCCTCATAGTGAAAAGCTTCTTCCTACTTTCTAATCTAAATCTCCCTTCTGGCAGTTGAAAGCCATAACCCCTCGTGTCCTATCACTAAAAGCCCTTGTAAAAAGTTCCTTCCCAGTTTTCTTGTAGGGCCCCTTCAGATACTGGAAGGCTGAAATGAGGGCTCCCCAGGGTCTTCTCTTCTCCAGGCTGAACAACCCCAACTCTCTCAGCCTATCCTCGTAGGAGAGGTGTTCCAGCCCTCATATATAATAAAGACAGTGTTGATTATCCCATGATTTTAACATCAAACATTGAAAATCCATCTCTCTTAGAGACTTGACCTGTTGTATCAGAATTAATAATCAGCAGAATTAAGCTCCTGAAATTTGTGTGACTTGAGTATAATTTTTTTTTTTTTTTTTAATATACAGATATAGAAAAAGTAGTGCCACTTTTGTATGATAGACTTAAGGACAGGAAGTTCAGGGAACAAAACTGCTAGTCCAGTCTTCTGCTTTAGGGGATCCAAGCACTCATCTCCCACATCCCATAAAAAGCCCTTACCACAGGTCTATAAATTGCCTGGATCTGGCAAAGTCAGGAAGGATGTAGTTTTTACTGCATTTCTTCCTTTATTTTTACTTATCAGGAAAGAGAATATGAGATTCTCACTATTGAGAAAGGATGTACTATGGCCTACAACACTACAATTTACTGACTGCAGAAAGTTAAAGGTCAGGAAGTCTTGGCTATAGTTTCTGAGCCCTAGATCTTTCCAGTTTTCTACCTAATATGGGAATAATTCAGAAGTTTCAGATAATCCTTCAAGCATACATTAGAGAGCCCGAGGCTCCTCCTTTATCCCCTTTCAGATGAGTTCTGCCACCACAGCCTGGGCTGTGTTTTCATTTTGATAGTCCAATAAATCTTTCATTTCTTGCTACACTAGGGTATGGTTTCTTTAAGAGAGACAGAAAACCTTCACCAGCATCACAACCACATGTTAATGTGGGTTATGAAGTCTTCAAATACATAAAGGTTAACCACAAAGAAAGAAGGGAACAGACTGTTCCCCTTCTTCACAGGTCAGAAGACAAGACGGTAACGACAGAAACTGACATATAATTTGGACAAAAGTTTTAAAAGCTTTATAAAAGGTTACTGAAGCCCTGAAGCACACTGCCTGAGGGGATTCTGGAATCTCCACCATTTGTAACTTTTAACATCTGTCAGAGTGTCTTTGTTATAGCACACCCATCTGGGTAGAGGTAACCTAAATGATATCTTATGTACCTCACAGACTTATAATTATACAAGATGAATGTTAATCCATAATACATTCCCATGACCCTTTGCACCCAGACGTACTGCTAAGTCTTCTATCAGTTTGTCTTCAAAATAGTGTTCTTCTGTTTCAATCCAAGATTTATCATAGCCTTGAAGAAAGAGATTGACGGCTCGGTGCCTAAACAGGAACATTTAAAACAAAAGCTATAAACTTTTAAAGAGAAGATTTGGTCAATATTATTTTCATTTAGCTTGAAGAACTGCCCAGTCATTACAATTAGCATTTAAAAGGAAAGCAAATTTTCTGTGGTAAAACCTGTTGAAAGCACCTATTTTAAAAATTAAGTTTACATTAAAATGCTTTATTCCAAACTGTGTTCCATTAACTTCTAAACCTGGTATTAAAATCTAATAATAATGATCTTAGGAAAAGAAAATACATAGAACTTTAAAGAAATAAAACTGATTACTTTGCCACATCAGTGAGTTTTATTTTTTAATATAAAATATTTTCATACTATTTAAATTCAAATATTAAGATAACAGGAATAGATAACTTTGGATTGTGCTTAGATAATTGCATCTTTTTAACATTCAGGTTTAGACTTGCATAACTGAAATAATAATATTTTTTTTTTTTTTTTTTTTAAAGTCCATGAAATTAAACGGATGATGTGGTTAGGGGAAAAAGTGTAAACCAATAATGGTGTTTACCAAATTGGAGTTTTTTTGGTTTGTTTTTCTTGAGAACTCAATGCAAAATGGACTGTATGAAAACTAATTTTCTATGAAGAATTTTATCAATCCTCTTAATTTTTTTTTTAAATAACTGCTACTCCTATAGACTGAAAAGGAAGAAGTGTAACTAATATATACAGGAATGCTAGTTATGTGCAGGTGACCTACTTGTTAAAGTAAGAACTTTAAGATGGAAGTATCTTTGTTCTGTTTGCAACTACTATGATTCTCATCTCTTGTCTTTGTACTTCCTGGGACAGACCTTAATATTCATTCTACTAACCATAGTAATAGTAATAATATGGATACTTTTGGGAAAAAGTATGATTATTATTATGTCAAAAATATCTGAAACAAGTTTTCCGGAAATTATTTTTAGCAATTGCATGAAAGAACAGACATCTTCATATTTTTTGAATGTTCATTCCTTCCAGCATCTTGGGTTTCTGAAACTTTCTTGAACATAAATCCCATTCTCTATTGAACAAGAAAGGAGAGGAAAAGGAGCCACAAGAAAAGGTGTGAAATACTTAGAGTATGTGCATATATTTCTTGTCTAAAAGCATGCTCTTCCCAAAAAGTGCAGAAGAAATAGACAAGTTTACAGATTAATAGTATCAGTTTATTTCTTGCACATAAAACATTTAGCATATAATAATGAAAGTAAAACTCCGTATTTCCAGAGCTATACCGTGGTTTAAGATGAAATCTATCTCCCAAGATGACACTACATTGACACCTCTATGTCTATTTCTGCACTTGTCTCCTATGGAAGGTGTCTACTTTTCAGAAAAGAAAGCATACCAGGAACAGGTGGAATAACAGCAGGATGAGAGAACCAGTAATTTAAAATTATACAAAGTATATTACCACACAGTTACCAATTACTGGTTTACACATTCTTCTTCCTTTTGATCTCACTGAATAGCACTGTATGAACATAAATGAATTTGTGAAAGACAGAAAAAATACAGCTCTTACCTTGGCAGATTATATAATGGTGCCATTCTAAAGCAGGCAACTACTGCTCTTTTCCTCTGTTTAGACAGCAGCTTATGCCACACGGCTTTTTTTGACCTCTGAGGGTGCTCAACCTGTTACATAAAATACACATGGAAAAATTAACCATGTGGCAATGTCTCTACTGTCTGGATACAGTAGTAATAACAAAAATGTGAGATAACAGATAAATCAAGTTGAAAGAAAATGGAATAATAATAGATAGGGGAAAGTGTTCTAGACAGAGTTCAAGTGATCAGACAAAATTCAGGAAATAAAAGCAAAAATCTCCCTTTCCTGGTATGATAGACATAGTCTCCTTTTTTTAGTTTATCCTGCTTCGTATATCTTTTCGGTTTTACATATTTAGACACTTCGATGTGAATATTATCATCACTGAGACCATGTCTCAGGAAACCTTAACTTTTAATATAACACATCTTCCCTCTTTGTATCTTTTATACGTAACTCCTTACATATGTGCAGGTAAATTGTACACCTTCACATTGCCTCAAATAATACTCTTAAAAGAATTGTCTTAAATACAATTAATGTTTTATTCGTAATATTTACTGCTATCAGCTACAATGGAAAGGAATTAACTTTAAAAATGATAGGCACAAACACTTAGGACTAAATCCCTTCCATGAATCTGAATAGCTAGAATGAACATAGGATACTCCAAAACACTTTGGCTACATTTCTCTTTCTACATCCTAGCTCTACAGTAGCATAACATGAAGTTGAGCATGATCCTTCCTCATCTTTTGCTCTTTCAGTTTCTTTTGTTGCAACTTTCACCCTTGTTTCCATCAGAAGAAAATTACTCCTGTGGTCCACAGAGCAACAGTAAATAGCCTGCCTGGATAGCTGGGAGCCATGATTGCAGGCTGTGTTACAGATTGCTCCTTTCCCACAGCCTATTCACAGTTTTTGTGATTTATTTTACAACTGTTCCACGACAATTATATCACTTAATTTAACTTATGGAACTCTTGTAGAGTGAAGGGGGCAGGTGAGTGGATGGCTTTTGAGGGGTGTTGTTTCTTTACTTGTGTGGATTTTGTTTGTTTCTTTTACAGATGAATGTGCTAGTGGAATAATAGCTCCTCTGACTCCCTACATCATCAAACAAGTCAATGGAATTTAGCATCTCTACTCTGAAAGACCTGATGATTCTCCTCTGCAATAAAATAAAGGTTTCTAACTGAAATATATACTAATTACGATGATTATGGAGACTCAATATGCAATCCAAACAGAGTTATCCAAGAGAATTTTTCTAGGTTAATGAAATGTAAAAAATTAATAGCTAAACAATAAACATTTAATTAGAACAATACAGCAAAGTGTAATGAATAAATACACTTGTGAGATTAAATGGTGACATTGTAAAACATGTTCTTTCCCAAAGATAAAATTCAAATGAAAAAAATTGTTAAGAGAAAGGATAGAAAAGTGTTCACTCTAAACATGTTTACAGTCACAAAATAAAGTCAGCGCCATTAATTTACAAGTCAGACAAATCCAAATGTGAAAGTTAGGTAATTAGTAATATCTTCACAAACAACATAAAACCCTCTATACTTTCCCAAAAGAAATAGCCTCGGCCTACACAAGCAGATCTCTGAAAATAATAAAAAACAAAGAAGTTAGCTTTACATGGAAAGAAAATACAAAGAATTAACTGATCTTTGCCAGTGCAATAAGGAAAGCATTCATAATATGTATATATCTAGAACAGAGTGTTTGTATATAGAGAGCAAAGGATTATTCAATAATCATAAAAACAGATCAAGTGCTCACATTTATTATTTTTAAAGACATTGAATTATCTATTTCTGTAACAAAAGCACATGAGCACTGAAGATAAGTAAAGCTGTGGGGCCAAATCTTTAAACAAATAGGTGCAAAGTACCCAAAATAAAAACATCCAGCATTTACGTCATTACAAGTCATTGTTTAAGTCTGATAAGAAGGTCTGATGTGAATGTTGATCTGGTATTACAATGGCACTTCATCCTGTCCTATTCTAGCGCTGGAGTCTATATACAGTGAGAATGATCCTAAGACAGAAATTGGAAAAGTATCATACACTGGGTTCCACTCCCTTGAAGAACTTCTCCAAAGCACACAAGCTTAAGCAAGCTTTATACATTTTTGTATAGCTAAAATGCCAGAAATCAAGAGGTTGTATATGCTGTTTGAACTCATATACAAGAGTCAAACACTGCATTATGCAACTCTGTACATGCTAAAATTTTTCCTTTCAGTTCACTTAACTTTGATAAAACTAGGGTAGAAGACAAGACTTTTTCGCCACCATCATTTCTAGCGTTCCTCTACTCTTCCTTTTTCCTCATAGCCACCCTATACCCTTCCAAATTAACACCCTCTCTCCTCTCTCTCTCTAGTTGTGATGCTATGAATTTACTTCCACATTCTATCACTTTTGGCTTTCTCTGCACACATTCAATAACGTAATATTTAGTGACCTCTCTTCATCCCGTTCTATCAAAATGTGTAAGGCTGCTGACCTCAGACCAACTCCATTTTAAGGCTGGCAAACCATATGAGGAAGAGTTGTGTGATGCTACATCCAGGACACGGGCGTTCACATCAACACACTGTGCATTCTAAAATCTCTGAAAGGTACTTTTAGCAATTAAGTGTATATATAAGCATTTTCACATATCTCTCAGATTTCTATTTGACTGAACCAGTGATCTCAACATTGGAAAAAAAATAAACACACAGCAAGTTTTATATGCAATCAGTTTATAGTCCATGGTGTAACCAGCAGTGATCATCTCTGCCACTAGGAATACCTTTCAGGTGAAGGTGCTGTTTCTTCAGCACATTTTTTAAAAAAGTCTAGCAAACACAGAACAAATCTGAAGTGTTTATCAGTGAAATGGGAAAACCAAATTTATCAAGTTGGCTTTGATATGTAAAATGTACCAATATAGGGGATTTTTTTACTTCAAAAAAAGTAAACCAAAACTTAAAGATAAATAATGGACTCTTGTGCCAAGGGGAGGAAAAAGCCAAAATCAAAACTAGCCAACAAACATCTAACTCCAAACACTTATTCTTGGTTGACCTATTTCTGGGGACAAGTTTAATCAGTGAAACAAAAGACAAAAATGTATCAATGATAGTGGGAAGACAGACATAAGATAAATTACAGAATTTTCTAAATGAAAGTTACCATACTCCAGGTCACATGGGAAGCTCATATATTTATGAAAAAAATATTAGATAAAATCTAATCTATCCAGAGCTTCATGGCAGATTCTGAAACAGGTTAAAGTTTCTGTTAGAACCTTCTTGGAAAATAATTCCTCCACCCTGCCTCTACTGTTTCTTGAATGCAGCAAGTAATATTTGAGTTAGCCATCTTAACCTTGGTTTGTATTCATTGTTGCACCAGCATGAACAAGTCTGAGTTCACGTATGCAACCAGTTTCCTGGACCACCAAAAAGTAGTCTAGCTAAAACTTCCAGATTTTCAAGAATTTTCTGAATTTCAATGCCCATTTAATTTTCTAATTGCATATATTCTTGCTCACATTCACACCAGCTTCTTTACAGATTTTGTCAAGTGGACATTCTTCTTACAATTTGTTTAACTAGTACAGAGTAAATACCTTTCTAAAGCCATCACTAGAGAAGATGTGTATCAAATCATCTGACTATCCTACTCCATACAGCTATAATACGCAGCTTCTAAGCAAATATTTCTGTAAGTAGCTTTAAGGTCCTTGCTACCTCACTAATTCAAGAACCTCATCTAAGGAAAACAACCTTGAAAGAAGGCATTTTTTCAATAATTAAACTGGGGTTTACTCCCATTTTATGGTCCATGGACAACTTAGTGATTACTTCCTGCTAGCTGAAATGCACCAGAAGGAAGCTAAAACATAGGTACCACTTTCCTATTCCTTGTCCATATAAATGCTTATTGGAGCTTCTGCAAACACACTATGTGATCAATAAGACCATGATACTGGATTCCAAAACACAAGGCAATGCATATAAACAGTAGCCATCAAAAGAAAGAAAAAAAGATTGTAACACTAAATACAGAAGGGGAAGATATAAATGAAAGGATGAATACTTTAGATTAAGAAGCAATGGAATCGGGAAAATGTGTCTAACCTGTTCCAGGTGAAACAGGACATTAGCTATATCAAGGACTCTTTCCACAGTCTTCTCTGGATCTGAGGAATCTTCAGTCCTGTTTGGTAAATCTTTGTACAGTGCCATCTGCCACCTAATGGCAGGATCCTCAAGCTGCAGAAGAAATATTTCACATGTCACCAAGGCAAGATGTTCCAAACATAGGGTCAAACAGCTTAATTAGTACACAAAGTGCTACAGAGGACAACAAAAGCACTTCATATAGTTAACCCACACCTTTACATGGCCAACCCATACAGCATCCACCATACTGACTGGGAGAACAAAACTAAAGACTTGAGTTGTGCAATGTTTTCTGAGAGCTTCCAGAGGACTAAAAGTCTAGTAATCATACAAAGAGCAAATTATTATGGGACAACAAATAGCACTGGCACTAGCAATAAATATATTACTTGAAGAAAAGTAATGAATATGAGGTAGACAGACATAACTTTGTACATTGACTGTCCTGTTATTAAATCAAACACTAGTGGAACTGTTGCTCTACTAGTTGGGACAACTTAATTTTCAGTCATGGAAATTAGTAATATTGGTCTTATTTATGTACAATTTTTTTTTCTCAGTTGTTAGAAAAACCTCATTTTACTGATTACCAGCTAAAAAATGAAAAGTTAATTTATGAAAAATTAATTCAAGAAGCAACTTGCTTATTAGCATAGAAATCATAAAGAACTGTATAGAGCAAAACTATTTTTTAAATTTTATTTTTCTCTTTACATTTTATTTTTTCTATTTCAGTGATCTGTGATTCTGTTTTATCATTAGCAATCTCTTTTTTGGTTCATTTTGGCTCCCCAGTGCTTCTGCTAACCAACACACTTAGCAACCGGTTTTTATGCCTATGACACCAAAGATAAATGATTGCATAACCCATTTTACAGAAAGCTGTGGCCAGTGATAATTCCCCATGGTGCAATTTAGGCTTAAGTCACACTGGCCTGGATTCTTACAGCACTCAAAAGCCTAAACCCTGCAGAACCCAATATGGCTTAAACTCAGCACTTAATTTACTAAAATATCTTTGTGGATCTGGATTTCAATTTGTCTCTAACATGAGACAATAATGCTAATTTACCTCCGTAAAACATCCTATGATACACAGGTTATTGAAGTTCCAGGAACAATTATAAACTTACACAGTAGCTCAACAATAGCTTATTACAACCTAGAAAGCCACAACTGGCAGGCATTTCTTCTACCTTTCGGCTTTTCCATCTCTTAACAACTGTCACATCCACAGTCTTTGTGTGAGCATTTGACCGGATCACCATGAATGGATAGTCCACAAAAGACTTTTTAATCACAGGTAGAGATGTCTTTTGATCTGAGGACTCCTCACATTCTATCAAGGTACAGCTTTTTTCTATAGGTAGTTTTCTAAGGGTATGAGTAGTTGACATTTCAAGGTGTGAATTAGCATGGCTGGAAGAAGATTTTGGTGACTTGAGCTTCATCCATGTCAAAATGAATGCAAGTTTCGTCATCAATTTCTTGAAATAAAAGGCTCGGTACTGAGTAACAGCATGCAGGCATGCAAGGAAAGGAAAGACAGAAACAGGGTGAAGACAAATGTAGGCAAAGGCAGACAAAGGCATGAAACAGACGCCACAACATTCATAGGTAAAGATTCAGAAAGATGATTCTCAAAAAGAGCATGTTTCCAAAAAGCATTCAAGATAAATTACATTTTAGCTCTAACATAAAAGACATAACATGGTGTCTGTGAGAAGCAAAACTGGTTAACAGAAAACATCATTTGAAGACAGACTATTGCTATAATTGGAAGAAAACCAGCCACTTCAAAAAGTAATATTTTTCCTCTGTTTTGAAAGCCACCTTACACAAAAACTATATAACTAAGTTACATATTAATTCATAACAAAAAATAATTTACATTTATAAGACCATTTGGTCTAGATCCCTTTTATATCTGACTCAATCAGACAAGAAAGACGTAGTATATGCATATAGCACAATGGCATGATTTTTCTTAACAAGAAACATCATACCTGACTGTATCTGTGTCACAATAATGAATGAATAGTAACGACATCAGTCAATTATGGAACAAATTATATTGTACTTTATAAATAACTACTGAATTTAACTTTATACATTACACATTTAACTAAGTTATACACTTAGGTTCAATGTGAACTCTAAAATGTGTCAGTGCTCAATGATTACTAAAAGTTATTTTTCAAGCCACTGAGAACAACCTACTTAGCAACATATAACAAGTCATAATAAAGATGATAAATACAAGAATTAAACAAAATTTTGAACTCCTAAAAATACCATATTTTGTCTGTAGTTGAGCTACTTTTCACATACAGGTCAAAATCGGAGCTTTTTCAAAGCTAGTAAACAAGTATAAATATAGCTATAAAATAAAAAGTACCTATAACAGCTATTTAGCTTTGTTAGCTAAGTATTATGTGGTTCCCTTTCAGAATGTCATCTTCCACTGGGAGTTTATTTTACAATTAGGAAAATGCAAAGGCACTGCTGAAAAGTTTACAGATGGAAAATCTCAGTGTGTACTTTGGGTTAGCTAAAATTACTTTCCTCTTAACTATCAAGGCACTGTGACATTCGATCCATGTAAGTAATTTAAAAGTACTTTTATTCTCATGTCTTATAAACAGAGGAGGTAATATGTTGCTGAACAGTAGCAAACTTTTAACTGAAACAAAGGAAGTGTCTGAAGAGAAAGCATAGGTCAAGTTATTAAGAAACATCATTACTCCAAGGCAACAAAGCAGTAATAGACAAAAATTTCTTAATAGCAGTATGTAGAATGTAACCCTAAAGAAACAAAATAGAAACAAGTATTTAAAACAGGAGGACAAGAAGCAGCATGAAATGCCAGACAAGACGTACAACGGCATGGCTCACAAAATGACAATAGACACATACTGAAAATGTTAGAACAGAAATATCTATTTTTATCATTAAGAAAACATTACTTAAGTTCACACAGAAAATCATAACACATTTAAGGTTTGTATGTTCATGGCATGTACACTGATTGAGTAATATTGTCCATGAAGGTCTTCATAAATACTTTTATTCCTAGTTCTTTGCTGATGTGGTTTCTTCTGGTTCTCAGTATATAAGAATATTTGCTATATAAGGATAAATATTTCAAGCTTTTTATAGGATTTAACCAAATCTTTTGTTTTCAATGGTAAATGTTTCTACGTGCAATCTCTATCATTTCAAACTACTGGACCTTTATTTGTAATAATTTATGAAAAAAAGCTAACTGCTAGCTCTGCAAAACGATGTATCTTTTTGTGAGCAACTCACCATAAACCCTAACTTCCACATAGTCTTGCCTGACATTGCCACAATATACAGAAAACATAAGATGGGATAAAATGAATCTTCAGATATTATTCAAGAAGAACCAACATCACCAAGCCACTGAAAAAAGAGATCCAAACATTTGTTGCCATGCATGGAATTGCAATGGAATACAGACTTCTGGATGTTTCTTAAACACCCTTTCAGTAAAAAAAAAAAAAAAAAAGCTAGATGTCCAACTCACATGTTTATTCTCTTGTAACCATTTAATGAGGACAGGAAATATTAGTATATTAGTTAGTCTTTTCCTTGAGATGAATAACACCTGGGGTGGGGGAAGGAGTTAAAGGACAATCCTAAACAAAGCACCATCCACATGTCCAATTCCATCTTCCTTCAACAGAGAAGAAATGTACGACATTTTATTACACTTCTGTATTATTTCCCTAGGACTATTCATCTGGCATTAACTGGACTTTGAAACCAAAAACCTACACTTTTTCCAAAATACTTTCTTTTCCCTGGTCTGAAAACCAAGAGTACTTCAGAGTACACCAAAGTGGCAGATTCCTTTCCCTTCAAACTTTAACAAAGTAATGTTGAGCATTTTGTAGATTCTATCCTGAATTACAGAAGGTAGAGTTTAAAGAGTAATAGACCTTGCTTCCACCTCCAATTTCATACTGATAAGTGTGCATAGGCTGGGATTTGAAGGGCCGTGTGTTATTGTGTATGTGCATATATAAACACACTAAAAACCTACTATTTAACAATTAACATGGATGAGTTACTTGATGGAAGAGAAAAAGGGACTACAAGTTATCGTAATGAACCAAGGCAAGTTGTTATTATACATCACAAACAAACAAATTCAAAGGAAGAAAAATCATGTTTAAAACCTGCCTATAGATTACCTTGCCCTGGAGATGAAGATTACTGCGGATGATATCTCGTACTTCATCTTCAGTATCTTTCTGTCAATAAATTACAAATCGTATAAATTGGGAGTAGAAAGTAAATAAGAAAAGATATTGTTCATACAAATGTCAGCCTTGGGCTTAGTTCAGATGATGAATAAAACTGACAATATGGAAGACTGAGGAAATTCTCAGTGGTAATAAGTCTTTTTGTATCAGGTCAGAGCTAGCCATATCCAAGCTCACAGGAACAAGTTCTGGATGGCATCATTCATATTTGTTCACAGCAACACACTAAGTGCAAATCTGAATTAAAATTACTAGTATATACATATTTCAGCAAAAGTTTGACCAAATGAAACCAGTACCATGAACAAAGCCTTCTCTGAACTGATTTATTTTTCTTTTGGAGATCTTTTATCCTTTATTAACATTCAGTTCAGCTGTCCAAAGGTCATATAACCTACTAGGGTATTTAAAGTACCACAGCTTGAGAAAAGTAAACTGTGAGCTTGCTCCTAGAAGAATCACTTTTAAGAGAGTCTGTCCCTACAGAAATTCTTGCACTCGCATGGCAGTGACCAAAAGGAATTAGTTATGATATTTGTCACAGAAGTTAGGAAACATCTAATTCTTATTTGCATTTCCAAATTTAAGCCTCATAAAATATAACTGCATAATCTAGCATTAAAAATTAAGATGAGAAATAACAGGTTTAATTTAAGAATGTCATCCCTATTCATATACTGATAATCTAGAAAATATGTACAAACTGAAATGTTCTATGCCCTGAAAATGAGAACAATATGTAGAAAACTATCTACCGTAGTCACCCATTGTACCTTTATACAGCAGAATTATAGTCTCAGTTATTTGTGTCATGCTGTAAGAATAAGTATGGTAATATTCAAAGAATTTAATTAGTAAAATTTTTCTACCTTTTAGAATTGCAAAAAGTGCACTTACCATACTGAATCGATTTTTCGCCAGTGCAATTAGCTCTTGGTCGCCAGGAGCACAAATGTTCAGGCCAATGGGAAGTAACCTCTTCAGTGCTGCCACAATCAGAGAAGTCTGCATAGAGTACCGGTCACCTTTCCGCTTCATCTTCTTTCTCTCCTGGTCAGAAACTGCTGCCTGCAGCATAAAGCAAAGATGAAAAAAAATACACTATTTAATAAAGGAATTTTACTATCAGCTTTGTCCTCATCTCTGGTTTGAAAATTTCCTTACTGCCTATACAGCTGCAACTTTATCCAATGAACTGCCATTATTTCGTTGCCAATAATTTGCACCAATAACTTGAAAGTCCACCATGTTTCTCAAATGACTACATTTTGATTGTCAACCCAGTGTTTCCAACAGATATTGTTACAAAAAGAAAGAAACAAACAAATAAACAAAGAGTGCCCCTCTGGAGTCCCCCTGTCTCCTTCCGCTCTGCAAAGAGAAAAACACAGAAAAACTTTACACTACCTTGGACATCTTAGATTTCGTGTCACTGATAAGGAAAGACATGTTGTTGATTTCATTCTGTACCACAAAATTCTGCTCCTCCCTTTTGAAATTCTGGAAACATATAGATCTCAATTAGCAGCACTTATGATACACAGGGAAACCATTTAAACAGACCTTAAATAAAAATATAAATTAGTTGGAAATCTATGAAATCCATAAGATAAGACAAGGATGGAAAAAATCAATGCATGATCAATAATGACCTTAAATTCCAGATTTATTTACATGACATGACTCAAGAAGTTGTGCGTGTGTTTGTTTTGGGTTTGTTTTTGGTTTTGTTTTTGTTTTTTCTGTTAAAGAGATGTTTCTCTGGCTATGAAATAGCTATGATAAAAATCTCACTCCTTCTCTAATTCAGTATAAAAATATTTCCTGGATTTTTGCTTAATAGTAAATAATTCATTCTATTTTTTCCCCCATTATGAATTCCACTATATTCAGATACATATGAAACTTGAAATAAAAGACTGAACTTACAAATGCATAAGAAATTGAATGATCCAGCGTCTATCTGTGTAATGAGTTTCTATTCACAGTCATGTTCACAATAAATCTTACAATCAAATTCAAGCATAAGTACACAAATAATAAGGCATGTTGTTTTCCAAACATCAGAGAACTGAAGTTATGGCAGAAAAGAAATTTAGTATAGACAACCATCCACATACAGAGATCCAATGCCTGAAATTATTTAGCGTCTTCTGTTTTTGGTTGCTTGGGTTTTTTTGTTTTTGGTTGTTGTTGTTGTTGTTTTTGTGTGTGTGTGTCTGTGTGTTTGGTTTTTTTGGTTTTCTTTTATTCCCTTTCCAGGATTCATATGAATTATGTTTTATTTTTATTTAAGCACTATCAGTGATGGTGCCTGATTAGGTCTTAATGCAGATCCCTTGGTTATTGCACATGAAGCAGAAGAACCACACTTGAAAATCAAGGGTAAATTTTGTAGAAGTGAAGTTAAGAAGAAATCCTTAACTGGTAAAATTTATGCAGTTGTATCATTTGGAAAATTATTGTAAGACATATTTGCTGTTTCCTTGCTCACAGAACACTTACTTTCCGTTGTTCAATCCAGCTACCGATTTAGTCTTAATAATTGAATTTGATACCTGTAACTTTTATTAAAGAAACAAAATACACTGCAACACAAATTAAGTGACTGCATAAAGAGCTGCACTTTTCCTTCATGAAACCCTTATTCTATTAGTCATGTTGAGAATCTTTCCACATGATTTTTATTGTAACTCTGCCAAGAGGCTTCAGGCAGACAGACCGTGCAATCTAGGAAAATGGACTTTAATGACACAGCTACTACTAATTTAGTAGTCATACATCCTGGTTATAAAAAGGCTCTGGGGCTTAATATATACAAAAAACCTCCAACAATGAATCACAACAAACCAACCAGAATTTCTATTAAAAATGTCTACAATCAGTGTTACTATGCTACAAAGCATCTATCAACTTTCCTAGCTACTCAGGCATTCCAAAAGAGTCAGAAAACTGAAAGTCATTAATGCCTGCCCATTTGCAGTCTCACTTCTGTCATTAAATGAGTTTTCCTCAACACAACCACTAAATAATTGATCTGTCTACTAAGGAACCTGATTACTTACATGAGACTTTGACCAATAAATGAAGACCTCAGCCACCATGCGGAACAATTCTTCTGCTTCAGGGTTGGGTTCTTTCAGCCATTTTGCCCTAAAATTTGGTAAAAAGGTGGAAATGTGGATGATCCCCACTAGCTTTATGCTTTGAAATCAGTTTACAACAGTTTACAAGGATACAAGCCTACAAAATGAAGCATGCAAGCTCTTAATCCTTTCTGATAGCAGCAGCTTTTTGATGTCCTATTTTAAAACCCTTAAAATCCTTTTACTTTAATCCTAGGTCTAATCCAAGAGATTTGGATTGCACCTTTTTTTGCAGTTTTCTCATGAGAAAGACCCCAGCTCCTCTGAAAAGTCATAAAGCATCAGCCTGAGCAACTTCAAGATTGGCAGGCTGAATAAAATTAATTACTTCAGTGCTAGACATATCAAGGGATAAGAAATGGTATCAATAAACAGGAAAATTTTACAGAATTCATCGACCTATTCCTCTCCACATACCTGTTATAGTCCACAAATCTAATCAACAAAGGGTAGAAGGCATAGAGGTCCCGTGCCAAAGTGGTGAACTCATCTAGGATGAGCAGTTCAGCCTCCGACATGTCACCTCTGCCTTCTGCTCTTAGATGTTCTTCATCCGATACAACCACTGCTGCTTTTTTCTTTAGCTTATCCATCAGTGGCAGGAAATGTGTCTTTAAGAGCTGTGGCTTCGCTTTGCTTATGATGGGCTGGGAAAACACTATTTAAGGCAATGAGTATTATATACCTGGCCACAAAATATAGATAAAAATTTTTACCTTTCCCCTCTTTCTTGGGTCTTATTTCTAGGCTACTGAGTAAAATCCTGTCCCCATTGAAATCAGCAGAAGTTTTGCCAAGAATTAAATGTGGTCAGGATTTCACACAGTCGCACTTTGTCACTAGGAGGGCAGAAACTACAGCTTCACAGACTAACCCTGCAAGATCATAAAACCTGAAACGCCTCATTACTGGCATCCTGTCAGCATACTGGTATTTGTCTGCCTTGTTTTGTTAAGTAATATAGAAGCTGTTTAATGGTATATATGGGAGGAAACATATAGCTACATAATGCACATACAAGTTTTCTCAAAGGCTTCCCCTTTGAAACTTGCATTTTAGCTTGAGTGAAGTAGAACTGGAAAGCATGCTCTAGTTATTTGCAAACCTACTGAAATAGCCTGTATTTCTTATACACATTAGGACACTTGAAAGGCTTGTTTGTAGATAAAAATGAGATTGATTCAACCATTAATCAACCAGCCATCTGAGATTTGTTAGCACAAGCTTTTTGCAAATCTACTCATAAAAGTGAATATGTAAATTAGCACTTCACCTGTTCCCATTACTGAAAAATGATTTGTAACATATCCATTAGATTATACAGACTTTTATGCAGTTACCACTTATCCTTAGAGTGCTTTACATTACTAACCCTCAGAATGCTAGGTATCCAGACTGCTACCATAAATGAAATTATTACCACAATAAGGACTTAAAAGTAATAAGAAAGTCTAATTGAAAAACTGAATTCACAACACCTAAGTGACTATTCCTTATAGATTGCAACACTGAGAAACAAATTTTATAAAATAAAGTTTAAGGAGTTATCACAATTAAGTTAATGTAAGAGTTACTCAAATGACATATGCTTTTCCACATTTCATTGTAGTAGATGTTAGACATATAGCTTCAAAACAATACTTTGAGGATTCAGCACTCATACAGAGTAGCAAACAATTTTGTCTCTGCAAAAGGCAACCCGTTATATAATGAATTTGGGCTAAATAACTATAGTCCTTTAATTCTACATACTGCAAAATGTATATGTGGATATTATGAGGGAAAAGAAATAGTCTACTATACATCCTATATTACCTACTAAGAGATTAAAACATACTGCTTACAATGCTCTTTATACTTAATATTTCTGGCTCATCAAGGTCTGTGTTATTTAGAAGCACAAAAATATGAGTGATGTTCTACTCCTGTTTTAACAGGGTCAATACAGAGTAACCAAGAGTGTAGATATGTGTACACACACACATTCTGAATATACACACACGCTCGTCTGTTTATTTTTTTCATATATTTTACCTGCTAATCTCTTCATCCAGGCTCCTTCATCAATACCAAGGTTGTTATAGATGATTTTCAATATGTTACCCAACAGAGTGTTCATGTGCTCTGATGTCAAGGCTGTGCAACACATCTCAGCCTTGTCAGGATTGTTTTCTGGCCCATGCTCCCACCAGTGTGACATGTAACTACACAGCATTGGCAGCACCACTTCCATGATATGAGGCATCTGTGTGTAACGAATACCAGACTCTGCCAGTTCCACAATTTCTTCCATTAGCTTCACCAAAGAAGGAATATTTGGACAAACCTCTTCTACACTGGCAGGCAAATTGAGAACTATTAGAAAAAAAAAAAAGAAAAACCAAACAAACAAAACAACACAACTAAGTCATAAATGGAAAATAATTAAATTTTTATTGTATACAACTTCTGTTTTCTATTTACATTTATGCACTTCTGATCAAAGGGAAAAAAAACAACAAACACAAGAAAAATCAGCTAATATCATACCATTGAGCAATAAATTGTTTATATATAAGCTTCTATAATAAAACACTCTATTATAAAACTATATGGAAGCTTCAATAATGTAACTATTATAGAATGAATTCAGAAAAATCAGATGCACTTTGTTCTATAATATTAGAAGAACTAAAATTATTGAGTGAAATATACAATTTTATCATCAAAAATATAATATCTGAGATATTTAAAATGTGTAAAGTAATTAAATAAATAGATTCCAAAGTGGTATTTTGAGAATAGTATCTCTAAATTAAAACATTGGCATCTTTAGAAATGTAAAATAATGGTTTTTTACCAGACTTAGCCCACTGATTTGGGAAAGAAATACAACCAAGAGATTACAAGAAAATTCTTGCACAACAAATTGTATGCCAAAATACATGTATTAAGGCAAGCAGCAATTACAGTGAAACTGTTTTCATAACCATCATATGAGTTTCTGAAAATACCTGCTCTGTCTCTTGCATTCTTGGTATTGTAAATTGAGTAGATATTATGTTTGTTCAAATGAGTTTCCAAAAAAGCCACTGGAAAGGCACCTGAGAAGGCGGCCAAACATTCTCCTAGTGCTGATCGTTGCCTGTGAATTAACAAACATCATTAAGTACACACATCTCTGATGACTGACTGCACCTTGGCATAGTTGTATGCCAGACTTATTTTTATTGCAAGATGAGCTCATCTCAAAGAGATAAGCTACTACATTATTAGTATCACCAACACAAGAACAGGTAAAAGAAATTGAAGTCCAGCAACCCTCTGCTAATATATGAATGAAATGTTAAGAAATAAATGTCAAAGGTGGCCTACTTAGCTGTGCACAAATGAGGAACATGCAGGGGAAAGCCCAGTGTCATCATAACAATGCCTTCTGTTCTATTGCTTTCCTCCCAGCTTTACTGACTTTATAATCTCTACTATTAAGAAAAAGCTCCTGAATTGACAGAGACCAAATACAACTATCACTGTATCTGAGTGATATGTTTCTTTTCCTGAGAAACTGTAATAACCAGACCTTGGTCTAGCATGAAAGTCAAGTTCTTCAGAGAGTGGAAAATTGCTTCTACTGATCAATAACTCTGAAAGTTTTGCACAAAACCTTGAAAACTTGCTCTAATCTCTTAAAATGTATGCCAACATTTATTTGATAATCAAAATTCTTTCAGTGTGTCAAAACTGTAAAAAGCCCATCTCTAGGAAGAAATGATGCCCTGTCAACTTCACTTGGGTTCTTCAGGGGACATTTAAAAATATTGTTTCTGATTTCCAATTCAGCTGATCAAGGTAGACTTTAGATACATGAGAGATCCCTAACTACTGAAGTTGAGCCACCCAGATGACAGAAATCAAGGAGACCCATTAAGTTCCACTTAAAAAAAAAAAAAAGCTTCCAAACTGATCTTGTAATTTAACAAGATTCATCTTCCGTCCACAGTTTATCTCATTTTAGGAACTTAGACTTTTTCTAGATCTAACTCATTAAACTTGATATTATTAAATCAAACTTCATTCCCATTATTATTTATCCTGTTTGCTTCACCTTCCTTCTTTTCATTGTCTTCATGAGCAAAACATACAACCATCACAGCCACTTACAAAGAGCATGCTGCATGCTCTTCACATGCAATAAAAGCTGTAGAGAACCACAGAAAAAATTGTCACTTACACTGACATATTTTCTCTTAACCACAAGCCTCACATCACTTATTTGCAAAATACCAAACCAAATTAATTTTATACCCCTTATGAAATGAATGAGACCTGGTTTTCCACAGATGTCTATTTTGTTACTTATATACATTGTTACCCACCTTCACGTTTCCTGTGATATTGCCACCAAGTAAGCAAGGGTATATCATGGACCTAGTCTGGACTTATGCAATGGTTGATTTTCTGGGCGGTGTACAGATACATGGATTTCCTAGATTACTGCTGTCGATATTTGAAATGTATAAGTTCTGTTTAGCCTTCCCTCAGAATAGTGCTAGTCACTACAGGGCAACTACTCAGTTTTCAAAACTGAATTATCTAGATAGCTCTATTTTTCAGCCAAATACGGTTTATATAGACCAAATGTAACTTTGAGGAAGGTTAGCAGATACACAGGTGCACAAAAAAAAAGCAACCATAAAGTCTCATTTCCCTGGGTAATTGAGCTAGAAAAGAAGTAGTGTTGTATGAGTGACAAATAAATTAAATTAAATTTAGGGTAATGAGAAAGACATATGCATCATAATTAACCAATAAATAAGGGAGTTGAGTTGAATGACATATTTCTACAGTTTCCCAGTTGAACCTCAAATCAAGTTATATTTGTTGTAAAGTCAGATAATTTTATTTGTAATTTTTGTTCTAATGGAGAAATATATTTTGACAAACTTACAATGCAATATTTTAAGTGTATTATAATAAATGAAGTTGCAGTCCACTTAACATCTAAGCACCTTTTTTTCCTCTTAAAATGTCTTTCCATAAAAAAATCTCTTCCTATACTAATTTCTGGACTGCAGATTCATAAATGTAAATATAAACACAAATATTAAAAACAGAGGAACATTCTTCCTTCTTACCGCTCTACATAGATACTCTTGCTGGTTCCCAGAGCATATAAACTGGCCAATATTCTGTAGCAGGAGACCTGAACATCTTCCACTGAAGAGAAGAAAATTATAGGTATGAAGAGATTTTTCTTTGCAATACGTTTGTGTATAATTAAAATACATTTCTTTTGACAACGACTGGATGAATAAGGTTAAACTATCAGAAGTAATCCACAGAAATCACTCTCTAAATACAAAAAAGTCTTCTGCCCGCTGAGTGCCATAGCTTCTACTCAAAACTTCCATTTACTTCAATAACAAGTTAGCAGCTAAGACAACAAACATATTTTACTAGTGCATCAATTTTCTGAAATTAATGGCATACCAACACTTTATGGATAACATCTAATTGCATAATCTGAGAAACTACTAATTTAAGAACTATAAAAAATGAGTATCTGAGTCTTTTATATTTTGCATGTAGCCTTAAAGTTTCATGGCAAATCAAATAAAATCCTGAAAAAAAAAAAAAAAAAAACCAAAACACAACATTAGGGGAAAAAAGTGATTTACAAATCTAATACCACGCTACAAAATACATTACAAAAGAACGCCAATCCCGGTTAAACAGGTATTTAATTCTTTTAATTACAGTTCATATTTTTTAAAAGTTAGACACAAGTATCAGTTAATAACATGTACTTAATTTACACTTCAGACTCACAAATAATGAAAAATAAATCTTTTAGATCTTATGAATAGTTCACTGAAGAAATTATCAAATTTTCCAGTAATAAAAGTGTGAGAATTATCTTAATAACTATCTGAAAAAAATGCTTTTACAGTGTAATCTGCAGAAACAGTGTAAGAGCAGTGTATCATCAAGAAGGACAACACCACCAACCTTTTCATATGTGTTTTTTCTAGTCTCTCCCACAATGCTAATACATTTCCCAAATACGCAACAAAACGTTGGAAGTAAAATAGAACAAGACTTAATGAGCTGGGAAAGCCTACAAGATAACGCACCAAAGCCACATATCCCAGCTTTTTACTATACTGTTCAGATCTTCTTGGAGTTGAATAATTTTAGGTAACAAAAGTAATCTCAGGAACACTGACCCATCTTTGTACATGACCACACCATGGAGTAGTTTTTACCTGTAGTAATACTCTCAAGTATAAGCACCAGCTCAAGATGATTGTCATCAGAGTAGTACAAAGAAGATAATCTTATTCTTAACAAGTTGTAAAATGAAAATGTGCCTAAGGAAAAATAGCCTTTTCAATTATGGTCTAGAGAAAATAAGCAGGCACTATTGAAACTAATTATTCCCAGTTTATGAATTCTAAATTGGGCATTTGACACCAATGTGGCATATGTAGAATAGCTAATTAAGAATACATCTTAAGTGAGAAAGTATCAAAGACTAAGTATGAAGTTCCAAAACATAAAATACCAGAGATCAAAATTTATACAAGGCATGAACATGTTGATGTCTGAAAAGAAGTGATTTATGATGAACAATTGATCTACGTGAACACCACAGATTACTTTTTCTGGATACTGTCACAGTCTTCTGAATTTTACAGAAGTAATTTAATGAGAAAAGTGGATGTTTACACCTCATCACATTCAAATTTATCAATACAAATGAAAATTTTCCAAAACATGTCTCTTAATACTATTGTAAATAACACTTTTTCCAGAGTTTAAAAAGAGAAGAAATATAATTTAATATTCTTCTCCTCCAGGTCCTTCTCTCAGTTGTTTCCATAACTAAATTAGCTATATACAGAGCAGAATTGTCTCCTTTAGTGACTTTTCACACAAAAAAGTCACAGTAAATCTATGGTAAAGTTATAAGGAAGATTGCATCTTCTGGCTGTCTGATCACAGCCACATTTACTTTAATATTTACATAAAGTCCAGTAAAACCTGCAGTTCTAGATCAATTACGGCAAATGTTTGATTACATCAGTAACAACTTTGTTAAAATGGGATAGGATTTGTCCTTTGTCCTTCCCTAACAGAACTGAGAATCTAGCAAAGCTTACTAGGTGTCACTACAGATATTATAGTGGCGTGGCACTTCTAAATAATACATACATATCAAATCTTCGCCAAACTGGTGTTGTCCAATATGCTCAAATAATGAAGATAGCACTGGCAGGAGAGCAACTGTAGTGTAATTAATGATTTGTGTAACTCCCTTTGGCTGGTTTCTGCTGTGTGTAAACTGGCCTTGCTTAAGGTTTTCCATTGTTTTCTCCAGATCCTCAGCAGCATTGTCCAAAAATGCTCTCAATGCCATCTTAACAGATTCCAGACCAGTTTTCATCACAGTCCTGTATATAGCATGCAAAGTGAATGAAAAAGAATATTCTATTAGACAAGCATGGAATAAATCCTGGTCTTGGCTTATATGAAATAGCAGATAAAGATCTGAAGAAAAATCTTTCATATTTTGATATTGTCAAATCTTCTCATAGCAGAACAACTGACTGAAAGAACATTCCATAGGCATCCTGCAGAACACAAGGATATTCTATCCGGTGTACTATTGAGGAAATAAAGTCCTCTAAAATTTATAAATTGATATATTTACCTTCAGAGGGGAAAAACAAGCCTAACAAAGGAGTACATCTGCAATTTATGACTCTAGGAAGAGAAGAGCTATCTCAAGCTAGAGCTCAGAAAGTTTTCCCAACCATGACAGTCGTATTTCTACCTCCAGAATAAGGGCATCAAAAAGCAATAAGTAAAACCTACCAAATCTATTTAAATGCATAGATTACATAATGCATAACACCATAATCAGTTATGTAATCATATAACCCAGGAGGATTATTACCTTATTTGTTTTAACTAGCGCAATTACATAGATCCTTTGTTCAAGGAGAGTATCCACATAGGCATGCATGAAATAAATCCAGGTGAAATTGTTTTGTAATTTGAATAACACTCCAGTTGATTTGTTTGTGTGTTCATTTGAGTCAATACACACAGGTTCAATGGCAATATATTCAAAATTTCACATAATTTCCATGAACCTATTCACCCCCATCTGGAACTATCTTTACATCTCTACCAAGAGCTGTAATTGGTGACCTCCACCTGTGCCTGTATTCCATGTGTATTATTGCATAGAGTAGGGACAATTTAGGACAAAAAAGCAAAGATATTGCAACCAAAAGGATTACCATGCAACAGCTGACCCATATTAATGACCATGATCATGACCGCTCTCCACAGTAAACAGAAAGTAAAACTTTTTAATTTAAGCCACTGTGAAGATACTGAGAAAAAGAGCGATCTGCCTGTAATCCAGTCAATTCTTTGAGAGTAAATGCAAAGTGAAAAAAAGTTATCTTTAATTTCCGTGGAGGCATTTTAAACTATCACGTTTTATTTCACAGTTGCAAAGACCTAGAAGTCAACTATCAACACACAATATAGTTAATGAAAAGCAACACATTACCCTCAAATACTTCAAGACTGTCTCATCTATAAACCTCACAATGGCTCAAGAGATTCAATTTAACTTAAAACTATCACTTAATTTGACATAAAGGGTTTTTTTGTTGTTGTTGTTCAAATTATAACCTGAATTAACTTTGCAATGAAGACACTCTGTGAGACAGATTTACTGCACTTCTGAATTTTTGGATTAAACAGTGTAAGCAAAAGAATAAAATATTTCTGATGTTATTGTGCTTTTGGGACAGTCACATGATTAAAATGAGATGAATTAACAGCCAGCAGCTCCCGAATATCATAGAAAAGTGCAACCTATAGACATTGTCTTACCTAATCCTAGTAATTAACCTACTTTGCAAAGGGAATTCTTTTCAGTACTGTAACTTCTTGAGATTTGAAATTCTGTAGCTTTACACAGGTAGCCCAAATCTGACTTCACATTATTTTAAATTATTTTCTTTGTACTTCAGAAAATACATTCTATATTACCTCGCATCCAAGGTCTGGCCCAGTATATGAAGACAGTTGACTATTGATGTTGCATCATTTCCTAAACAGGGAAGAAAATTATCAACCAATTAAGCTGAGCATGCTATATAGCATACCTAAGCTCTCCTAACTGTATCTTTGATTTTAATGAAAGAGTAAATGACATAGCAGAAGAGCAATTGAACTTCTGCATAATTTTATCATTCATGTTAAAAAACATGCAGTTTGTTGTCTCAGCCTTGTTTTCACAAATGCAGTAAACTAGAGGCAGTAAAGCATCTCATCAAACAGCTGAGGCAGTCAAGATGGAAGCACTTCAATGTGGGGTTAATTAGAGCTGCAGTGTACTGTCTGATTTTCATTTAAGTTCTATAAATTTTGCTTTGATCGATTTAAGTTGAATCTGAATAGATTCTGAACATTTATTTTCCCCGTCTCAGTAACATAAAAGCTGTTAACTTTCACAAGCTGCTATCGCAGGAAGAGAACATTTATATAAAATGTCATCAAAAAGATTAGTTCCCTGGTGTTACCAACAGGCAGCAGCCATTTATAGCAGGATAAGGTGTGGCCCACATAACTAAAAGTCTCTGACATAATATGCATCTCCAATAACTAATTATCTTTTTTTCACAGTTACATATGCAAAGAGAGGACTTGCACACAACACACCTTATATGCTTATGTACATCCCAAGATGTTGCCATGTACAAGTCACCTCTAAATTCACTTTTTAAATCCAGAACAGATTTAAGCTACACTAATTTGGCTCACAGTTTACTTATTGATTTTAAATTTCTTCCTTCTCTTAATTAGGAAACTTTGAAGTTTCTTAATTTAAAAAAAAAAAAAAAGAAAAAGAAACAAATTGAATTTTTAAAATATATTTTTTTTCTGAAAATAGTTGTCTGTAGACAGTGTACTGTCTCACTGCTGGTTATTTCTCTTGAAAACATCAGCAAGCATACAACTAAAATTAGTAACTGTTTCAGTAAACTAGAGATTAAAAAAGATAATTTGCAAGGGAGTGGGAGGTTTATTTCAGCACTGTGAATGTTGTTTTCGCTATCAAATTAGGAACTATTGTTGTGGTGTTCATCCACAGTAGATTAAACAAACTTGAACCACAGTTTCCATGGCTGCCCCTAGACAAGCAGCCTGTTTGCACTGGCACTGGTGGTAATGACAGTGAGCAACATATAGAAAAATATATATAACAAAATATAGTGAGCAAATGAGAAAACTGAGGTGGCCTAAAAAAATCCTACCAAAAAAATCTACCTCAAAAGATTAAATTTTTTCAGTTCCTATTTTTTTTCCTCTTACTATTTTACTGCTCTGGTGTTTTGAATGCCAGTGCTTATGAGAGTACAGGACTCTGCTAATGCCAGCAAGGATGGAGTAAAGTACTCAACGCACCCCAGACTAAGACTGGATCAGGCTGTCATGAAATAGTATCTTAATATTTGTTATGCTGGTGTGCAGTACAGAGATGCTCACTTGAGTTCCCTGAGAAGTTACATCGGTAATCTGTTTATAACATGTAGACACATTTCAAGAGCTATATATTTATCAAGAATCAGGTACTTCATGTGCTGCAACCAGGTGGAAGGCTCAGAAATTCATCTAGCTACTCTGAACACCAGACAAGCTTTAGGCATATCCTGGAAGGAGATACTGTAGTGTGGTTAGTTCCACAGACTGGGATATTAGACCACAGTTCAGTGACCATGATAAATGCAGTTCCTGTCTATCTAATCTGACTGGCATACTAGGGTTTGGACAATTTTATCCATGCAACACTAAGACGAGACTTTCAGAATTATCATAGAATATCTGAAATGTCTCCTTCAGGCAGCATTTGTTACAGAATCTTAGAAAATGCAAACTGCAATGAAAGGCAACTTCAGATTCAGTGGAAATTCTGTGTCTTGCTTTTGTCCAATGTCATTAATTTAGTTGTTTTCACCATGTTTCTAAAACAAAAACGCACCAAAAATATTTTATTTTACTCAAAATGCCCCAGTTTGAACTTTTTTAAACATCCTTTTAAATTTAACATGGCAAGAATAGGTTTGCCTCAAACCTGAGGTCAGAAGTCAATATCAGAAATCTGTAACTTTTTTAAACTAAGTTGTGAAACCTAAAATGACAGGTTTCCTAATGAAACTAATTTTGTTACTATTGCAAATATTTCACCATATATATATATATATACACACATCTTCATTAAATTAAAAATATTCTTTTTCTATTGATTAAAAATGTTATTTGTTTTCAGAACCCTGAAAACTAGATACAGAACACTCTGACACAGAAATGAACGCGCAGTATATAAAATTCCATTACATTATGAAAGAGGAGCAGGAAGTAAGTACAATTTTATAGAATAAAAAATGAAACAAGAGCTGTTCCTTAAAGGAACTCTTCACAAAACTCAAAACAATTAAGGCTTCTTGACATGTGCAAATACCAAACCACATATGTTCAAGAGGTTTTAAAGCTAAAAGTACCCCAGAAGCTAATACAAATATCGGGTTGCTGGGTGGATAACCATTCAGCCTGTATTCCAAATGCAGTGGATCCCATGCACGACTGAGCTTCTTTAATAACCTAAGGTGCAGTCATATATATTTTAAAAAGTTGCACTATTATATCAGGAGGGACAAATGGTTGCTGTACTACAAAAGTGCTATGGATATTGGTTCCAGAAGGCCACACTGGAAGGACACTTATAAATTCAGGATGTCATTAGGCAGAGAAAGCCTTCTGTTTCGTTTTAGGAATTCCTCTGATTACTTTCTCCAAGTTCCAAAAAATGAGTGAGCAAAACCAGGCCTTCCTTATTTGATGTCTTACCCAGCTAATTTTTGTTTCCAATTACATGCGTCTGTATTACCGATACAAAGATTTTTTTTTTTTTTTTTAATTATTTACAAACTTCCATAGAAACAATGCCCCACTGGAGTTTTAAACAATATTAGTCATATAAATTCGTTTTTTTCAGTTGAGAAAATATAAAAGCAAGTGCTCAATTCACCAAAATTATTCACTACAAACTTTCAAATTCAGCCCACTAAAAATAATGAAAGTAAATCAGCAGAGCCTTAGTGATGTACAGCTACAGCTCTCAAACAGTAAAGTACTGGGGTCAAATCTACTTTCACAGTATAAAGAAATAATAATTCCATCCTGAATTATAATTCCATCATTTCAGTGACACTCCTAGATATCACGTGATTGTTTCACTCTAGAATACTTTGTGTTTAATTTCCCATTTTATCAAGACTTCTCTATACAGCTTAAGCTGTATGACTTTTACTAATGACTTTCATACATGCAGCTGTATCTTCAGAAGTACCATTCCAATACACAATAATATAAAATACTTATATAGCAAAACTATACAGCATTTTGCAAAATTTTAATAGTATACCTGAGCTACTTCATTGTTTGCAGAAACAACCTACAGTATAAACCAGAGCTTATGTGTAATTTTGTGACATATTCCACCCTTCAGAAAAAGCTGCAACAATGCCACACAGCTGCAGAAATAACTCCATTCCTCCTATGATCTTTTGGCTTTACAGGCAAATCCACTCAGCTCATCCCAAAACATATTTAAAAGCAATATCCCAAAATAACTTCCAATCTTTCTTCTCAGTTTAATGGCTTTCATAATGGTCTGTAAGCTTTTTAAACACCATACTGCTGCAGCAAGTGAGTTCCTTCCCTTCAAATTGAATAAAATATGTAGGAATTAAGTTAGATGCATGTTATCTTAATCAAATACTCATTTGCTAGATAATTAGCCAATTAGGTGTGTTCCTGGAAGTTTGCAGTGCATCCAGCACAGAAACTACATGTGCATAGGACGTACTATCCTATCATCATGGCGTAGGAAAAAATTGCAGAGTAAATGATTGTGCCACACAATACATATATTTTCATACACTTGATACAAACTTCAAATTGACTTCAATTAAGTGATTTTCACATGGCATAAAGACAAACACCGAGCTCCTGATAGATTCACATAATACCAAGAAGATAGTACACATGCATATTTGGAGTCAAGCACATCTGGGAATATTCAAGAATTCCACAGAGCATAACTAAGCATTTCAGCCCACTAGAAATTTTCCTTAATGACTTTCCAATACAAATGTGCAGTTCTGATGCTCTGTTTTTCCCAAAGGATTTAGAATACAATAACAAATTCTTTGGTAGGCGAATGAAAACCAGATATTAGTTAAGGCACATGAAAAACTCAACAACAACCGACCCCAAAAAAAATTATAAGTACAAAAGCTTTTTATTCCATCTAATAAATTCTGTGATCTACCAGCCTGAACAATTAGTGGTCTGTGAAGACCATGCATTTCAGCCATGCAGCCATGCAGCATGCAGCAAAGCAGCACGTAACACAATGCAAAAATGGCAAAGAAAACCAAGTGATGGCCATGCTAGTATTTGTCAAGGGTCTCCTTACCAAACAGTGAAATCCTATGCCTGACAAGAACTCCAAGTTTGCAGAACAGGCTGAAGACAAAAGAAAAATAAAAGAAGAGAAGGGAAACGGGGAAAAACATAAGGGAGGGGGAGAAGAAAGAAAGAAAAAATAACAGCTGATATATGAGCAGGAAAAGCAACATGATGTCACGCAGAAAGAATCAATTATCTGAGCAGAATGTGGGACAGAGTACTAAAGAAAAGAGTTTTTAAGTGCATATCCTTAACAAATATGGTTAAATAAGCACATATTACAATTGAACAAACAAAAAAGAAAAAGAAAAAGAAAAGCAAAGCTAATTAATATAAAAGCGTCCTATAATATAATCCACAAGGAAATAACCATCAAAACTTTAGAAGTAAAATGAGGTTCAGGATACCATTGACAATTTGAAAACAAAAGGTAAGGAAGTCAGATTAATTTAAGTGTTTGATGGAAAATGTTTACTTAGTCCAATTTGGATCCTGTCATCCTGAACACAGTGTGATTTTTTTTTTTTTTTTCCAAATACATTGCTTTTTAAACAGACTTAACATGAGAAATAGTCTCTTACATAGTTAAAACCCATCTGAAACAGATATGATCAATTATTTCATTTCACATGTTTTCACATTACTTGCTGTGCTGATGAGCAATGCCCACCTCATCACTCCCCCAGTCCAGCCTTTCAGAACAATGAGAATGAAGTTTTGTGTTAATTCATAGAAGCAGGAGCACGTTGTCCCACCCAAACTGACCTGGCCTCCAGATTTAGGAGGTGTTAGCTCTACCTTCATGATCCAGTTCAGTCTGAGAATTTTCTCTAATGGCAACATCAGTTTTGGTGTTATTTTTAATGCTGCAAAACCTCTCATCTGCTATAAATGACATGAACGATATCATGTCATTTTATTAGGCTATTTTATAATTAGGCACACAAGCTAGTTATCAACCTCTGATTTAAGAGCAAAAGACACCATAAGCATGTCTCCACAGTTTATGGATGAGATCTGAACATGTTGTTCCATTGACAGACAACAGCATGGTGCCAAATGGAAACATTTATGTCCAGAATCAGAACAGCCAGGTCATGTTGAATGAAGCTAATTAGCCAGTGCACAGTGATCCACTATAGCATCAGCAACAGCTCTGCTTTGAAACAAGTCTGACTGGTGCATGTTCAGGTATCTCTGTCCACTTTTTATTCCATCAGGCAGACATATGCTACATATTCTTTGATGAGGATCCTGGTTCACCCAGTTCAACAGGAGAAGCTGTGCAGAAGCATGTTACCATCATATAAATTTTGTGTCCATTCTAACAAAGACATTAAATATCTCACTATCTATTCTCTAACATGCAGATGTTACTCAACTGAATGCAGCATTCAGCAGATGCTACAATTTCACAAAGTCAGACAAGCTATTTTCTCCAGTGTAATTAGTTTAGGTTAAATAAATAAATAAATATTTCCAAATGGCCAGTACTTGGATTGATGTCCAGAACTAATTTTATGGAACTGCAGCAGTACAAGGATGTGTAAGATGGTCTAACAGATGCGAAATGTAAAAAGCCCAATACTGAAGAGGCTGGTTACAAATAAGATGGAATACAATGCCACCATCTTTCAGAAAGAGCTCTAACCCATATTTGCCCACAAAACAGATCTTGATTTAGTGTGTTTGATGGGCACAGAATGGTTATTGCTGTTGTTAACAGCTGTTGTTGGCACTGCATTATCAATACCCAAAATAATAATTATAATATATAAATTATATTTAAAGTATAAAATTATAAACTCTTCTAGCTTAATGTATGGAAGCTTATCTTCTCTGAAACAAAAAAAGCAGCCAGAAGCTGCCCTTAGTTTGAAGAAAATCCTACATATGACTTGCACTCAAACCAATCTAAAGGGAAAACTCATTAGAAAAAAACTAAAATTCAGCTTTTGCAAAGTCCCTACAAAAATGCGGGGTAGGTAGGGGTAGGGGAACAAACAACACACAACACAAAAAATAGGTTTGGAATATATTAAAATGGCCCAAAGTAACTTTTCAAGAAACGGATCACAGTTTCTGTTATCTTTACATCTTGATAATTAAGAAATAACCTGGTCAATAGCAGTGGTTACACCTATCATTCATCCAAGGTTTCCTTGCATGTGTCTTCCTCTCTTTGGCTGACACTTCTGGATGGCAGGTAACTCAGTTAAGCATGGCAGCAACTCTGATCCTTTTGCTGGACTGCATGTTCAAGAATCTCACACAGATAGACAGCATATGTGCAGAAGTCCTGAATGTATCTATGCAACAGGTATTCCGATATATCCATGTTTGATATATTCCAAAGTATGAGTTTCACTAGTATGACTTAACAACTGTGAAAATATTGTTATCCGGGATATTACAGACAGAAGAATAGCAGCTCATAGGGTGGAAAACTACCTAGATGCATGCATTTTGACAAAGTTTTTAAATTCTTTGAAGAATACCATTCAGCCAAGCTGCCAAATCACAGAGTCAAGATAGCCATTACTTACTTAGGCTTAGTATTGCTGCTAGAGACTTCAGTCAGTATTCACATAGTCTTGCAAACCCTGCGTCTGCATGACTACTGATTGGCTGGCATCAACAGCCAGGAAAGCAATCATGATATGTGTATGAAGCTGGTAGTCCACCTTACTAAATGGGAAATAAGGGTTTCAGTTCAATCAGAAGTGAAATTAAGTGAAAGTATTTCTTAGAGAGCTGGTCTAAAAATCCACAAGTTCAGAGAAAGGGTCAAGTGACTAATTCTGTCATATTACTGCTGCTATTACTATTTAGAAAACCAAAGAGCAGAAAGAATGCAACTTTCTCGTTTTTAATTTTTATGGTGGACAATAATAATGATACTTATGCAAACTCAGTTATAAAAAGTTAGGCTTTTAAATCTACCACAAAGTTTTGCAGGAACAATTTCAGTATATAACTGTTTCCAACAGTGAAAACTGATGCACAATTTTATAGTCTGTGCCACACACTGCCCAACTGCTGGATTGTTGCACATAATGCTAAAATTAAGTTCCATGCGTGCTAAAATCATCATTGCTACTTTTGAAACAGCATATAATCATAATCTGTACTCCTCTCTTCATTTTATACCAAGAATTTTCCTAACAGGAAAAGAAATTGAAAAATGTTTAATTTGTGTGTTCATAAAAATATTTCTCTGCCTCCCACTTCTCCCTTTCCCACAATCAGCTGCTGCTGTTTAAAGACAGACACACATATGCACGAATATTATTTTAAGTTTTACCTTGTCACCATTTCTTTCTCTTTATTAGAGGCATGGCCTCCACTGCTGAGAGGCCTGCTTGCTGCAGATAAGAAATACAGGCGATGATTTTTAAAATATTGATCAATCAAAGGGAGCACAACCTGAAATTACATCAGAAAAAAAAAATGGTTATCTCAAGGCTTTCTTTACAACATTCTCTATTACTCTTTGTAAATCACAACTAAAGGCAGGAGATTTCAAATATGTTTTCTGTTTTAAAATCTCTATGTATATTTTAATAGCTATTCCTCTTTGAATTTATTTAGTATTCAAGACACTTGAAATGTCCTCAGAAAAGACAGCAGAAAAAAATTTACATCTGAGACTGGATCTGTGGGGTTTTCAGAAGGAGAAGAAAGCAGAAAGTATCATTTTGTCTCATCATTTAAGATTTTTTCCAATACCATATACACAGACTCAACTACTGCTGTTCATGCCTTTTAATTTATGGCTAGAGAAAAATTCACCTACAACTGTCAGCACACTAATGGGACTTAGTTCCAGATGTTATTAAAACTCTTGAAACATTTTAACTCATGAAGTGTTTGTGCACAGAAGTTTTCCTGTTTACCTCATGTAGTGACCATTACCCAGCACCCACTGCAGGTGTCAGCCACAAGAAGGTCCAAAATAAACAGCCAATAAGAAAATTTGAAATCACTTTCTTTTTGGAGCATGGTTCAAAAGAATGTGGTATCCTAGCTTCTGAGTCAATCAACTTGGAAAAATAGTACCACATGGATTTCCAGGTACTTTAAGGTATTAAGATTGCAATCTACTGCAAGGATGTCAGGGTTAGAAAATCATGCAGACAGCTACTGTTGCTTACTTACTAATGAATTTAAAAGACACTTTGAATATTCAAACACCATACAAGCTTTTACACGTGAAAGGCATAAGCAGATTTTGTTAATTTATTATGACAGGAATCTCATGACTTTCAGCACCTGGAAGTGCAAAGTCCTGCACCTGGGGAGGAATAACCCCAGGTACCAGTACGCACTGAGAGCTGACCAGCTGGAAAGCAGTTTTGCAGAGAAGGACCAGAGGTTCTCAGTGGACAGCATGATGATGAGAGAACAATGCACCCTCACTGCAAAGGTAGCCAACAGCATCCTAGGTTGCATTAGAGCATTTTTAGCAGGTTCAAGGTGGTGATTCTTCCTCCCCACTTAGCACTGGTGAGGACAAATTGGAAGTGCTCTGTTTGATTCTGGGCTCTCCAGTGCAAGAGAAATATGGACATAACAGGAGAGAGTCCAGTGAAAGGCCACAAAGATGATGAAGGAACTAGAGGATCTTTCAAATGACAGGAGACTGAGGGAGCTGGGACTCTTTAGCCTGGAAAAGAGAAGGCTCAGAGAGAATCTCATCAACATGTATAAATATCTGAACAGAGGGTGTTAAAGAAGATAGAGCCAGGCTCTTCAGTTATGCCCCATGACAGGACCGACTGGCACAAACTGAAACACAGCAGGTTCCCTCTGATCATTGGAAAACACTTTTTTTAGTGTGAACATAAGTGAGCTCTGGCACAGGTTGCCCAGAGAGACTGAGAAGTCTCTACCCTTGGAGATACTCAAAAGCTGTGTGGGATGTGGTCCTTGGCAACCTGCTCTAGCTGACACTGCTTGAGCAACGAAGTTAGACTAGATGACCTCCAGAAGGCCCTTCCAAACTCAGCCATTCTGTGATTCGGTGATGGAGACATCAGATCATTTTAAAACAAGGAAAGAAATGCAGAAGGATACACTGACAGATACATAGCTGTGTTAATTCCAATAGCTATTGTTCACATTTATCTGCCTGAAGATTGTAAACGAGAAAAATCTCTGGAAGTACACTAAGCCAGTAAACAGAAAATATAGGGAGGTTATGAATACCATCACGTGCGTAGTCACATATCATGGAGCAAGGAAATAATGAGAATAAGAATACAGTCCTGTAAATTCTTCACATCTTTTCTTCATCCTACAGTATTTTCAGCTATTTTTATTACTACTGTTTTTAACTTATAAAATAATAAATTTAACACAGAAAAGTGCAACTATAACAACAATAATCATGTTCACTAACAAATGCTTTCTCGCTTCAACTACTTGCTATGTGACAAAGAATAAGAAAAATATACTGTACTTTGGCAAAAAACTTGATTTCTTGTTCATATGGGAAATGGTCTCCTTTGCCTCTGCTGCCACCATCTGCAGAGAGAAGAAAAGTAAGCTCCTTGTCACATATGCTAATTACAGTCTGCTCTGTGTTTTCCTTAAAAAGTGTACACCATTAATAAATAACACTGGTCAACTTTAGATGTAGATTTCACAATCCACAAACAGTATACACACTACTTAAAGTGGCATTTTATGATTACCTCATGAGAAGTTACAGCAAATTAAACATGTAAAGAAAAATTGGCCAGATCTTCATAAAAGTGTAGATATCTCATAGTCCAAAGAGATATGGATATTTTTGTGAGATGAAAATCTGATCCTATGTTTGTATTTTTCTAGTTACTGTTGATGATCTGGAATCCCGAACTCAGATTCTAATGGAACACTTTTCTCCAGTCTTTTTCAGGAAAAACAGAATTACCCAATTTTTACTACGTATTTGTGGACTTTGTCTAAGGAACAAAATTAAGGGTTAGAACTATCCAACTGAAATTAAAATTGCCACACTTCCCCCATTACTATAAAAATCATATTCTTTTCACAGATGTAATCTGATACAGCTTCCAGACTATTTATCCTTTACTTTCTTCTTTTTACTAATTCATTGAAGGACATGAATGGTATTTGTTCCACCAGAGTTTCTGGTGTTTCAGTATTTACTCATTTTCATTCCTGCAGTTGTGTCAAATTTAAGTAGAATGAAGCCATGATTATCAGGCATTACCAGCACAAGTAACCCAGTGAGTTATCAAGGCCAGACCGTTGCTACTGTAAGTAACCATGGCATATCATAATTCATATATTGGATAATTTTCACTTCAAAACAAGATAGGCTTTTGGATGAGCGCTGATTCATTCAATCTTGCTGTGGTTCCTGTCATTAATACTGTCAATTACAGCATCAATGCCTAGACATGAGGCACAGTGTACATGATGTGGCATCGCAACTCCAGTGGTCACACAGAAGCTACATCTGGCCAGGATTTTTGGTTTTTACTGCTCACGTAAGAAGATGACTTGAGCTTTACAAGGTCAAGCTTTACATGGTCAAATACAAGGTCACCAAACTTGTATTTTATTTATCTTTAACAAAAGCAGATCAAGCAGATCCTTTGTTTCATAGCACTGTTGACAAAACACATGCTGGGTGTTTGTGAAAACATTCCCATCGTGGGAGTTTGCTAAAGAGGTTTCTCTACTCAGCTTCCTCCTTCAAAGTAAATTTCAGAAAGGTACAAATGACTGATTTAATTTGCTCTGTGAAAAAGGGATTACATGTTTAATAGTAAATATCAATGTGCATGTAAGTGATTATAAATTTGTGCATAAATACAAGGAGGCAGCTAGTTCTCTTTTTCAAGGAATGAAAGTTAAAATACAGTTTTGTGGAATGTTTTTCATCTGATGACTGGATATGGGAAACTGGAATGAAAATGTAAACTGCATAATTTTCCTAAATTCATCATCTTCATCAACTATAGGAAACTAGAAAGAAAACTCCTAGTCCAAGAACGTATCTTTTAAAAAAAAAAAAATCTGATTCTTTCTAATAATATCCAACATCATGGTTAATATTTAGTTAAGAAAATGCACAAAGAGTACTATACCAAACTCCAGAATGTACTGATGGGCTTCATCCACGTATCTTATAAGTTGCTGAAGGAAACTGTAGGCAAAGCGTTTCTCAATGGAAGGTGTGTCTAATTCTAAGTCCTTAAGTCCTCTGTAAAAAAAAGCAAGTCAATTTCCACACATGCAGAAGGACTCTGTCATACCTTTCCATGCAGTCTGACACCACTTTCTCTAGTAATGATTAAGTGCTTACTAACATAAGGATTGTACTGCGTTTGAAGTAAACTGTAGTCTTAAGCTCATTTAGGTTTTGAGCAATTTATTAAAATACAACTCAGATTTCCCAAGTAGAAAATTACAGAAAAATAAATCTAGTCAGTCAGATTAATCCAGTATCATTGCAATTTCTTTCCCTTACTTGTAAGGCATTACTGTCTTATAGTTCCCTCCAAGGACTGATTCCTGGGTGGAGGAGTTTTGAAACTAACAAAATACTTTGATTTAAACAATCAAACCAGAAGGTAATCTAGTCATCCTCATAATGACTTTTCACCAAAACTCTGTTTGTAAAAAAAGAAATTTTAATAGCTCTGTAGCATGTGAAAAAACAGAACAAAGCAATGGAATTGCAGTCTACCTTTTCCAGTATGTTCCATCACAGTTACTAGTCTGATACAAGAAGTGTTTCTTCTTTCAACAAGTATGACTCTGCAAGTATGAGAGTGGATCCATGACATGGGCTGATGTCTGCTAGTAACACATTGGCAATGACACAAGCCTCAGTTCTGCAGGATTGGGACGTTAATGACAGCACATGAAGAAGCTCTGCTCAACCAGCCAGTGAGTCAGTAACCACACTGTCAGAAGTACCAAGTACATTAGTACTCAGCTATTTTGCAAATTACTAAAGCATACCTACTGAATAAAACTGCCTGTGTGGTGCACATTTCTGCTTTAAATTAGAACATTGGTGGTGTTTGGTGGAAAAGTTTCAGAAAAAGAAATTCTGGAAGTAAAGTAGCTTTGTCAGGTGACACTTGTAAAGGTACAATAGTCTCTGTGTCATTAAGATTATCTGATCAAGGACCTTCTCAATACAAAAGGGGATAATAAGAAGGAAACCACAAACAAAAACATATAGTGACAAAAAACCTAGTAAGCAAGGGATAAAGGAGAAAATGCTGGAGACCAAAATTCTCCAGTTATTAATTAATGGGCTGTTATGAAACTTCAAGCACAGCTCTGTAGGGTGCAACCTGGACTTCATAACACCTAAGAGGAGGGGGCATGAAGAACAAGAGGATTTGGAATATTCGAGGCAGATCAGTGGAAATATGCAAACTAATGATGGAATGTGCAGGGGAGCAGGATCAAGGAAGAGTACAGAGGAGGGAATAAAAAAAAAACAAAAAGGGGTCTAAAAGGGGCCGCTCACATGTAAACTGGGCCCTGCCAATACAGTTGTCTGACTCAGCCCTGCACCTCATCACTACTTCTAAAACTGTTCTTAACTATCTCTCTGTGTAATCTCTCTCATTATCCCAGGTGTATGTGTGTGCTGCAAGGAATAAGCATCAGCTACTGGTAAGACCAGCATGAGTGCATACTGGGCCAGCAATTGTTGGGGTGTAGGTGCCCCCAGGCCTGTAGTGCCAGCAATAGGAGTGATAAGGATCTGAGCATCATTAGTTGGAGAGTCATAGCTTTTGGGAATGTCTCTATGTAACCTACAGACTTTGAGCCCAGAGTGCTAGCTACAGCAGTATTTGGTGCTAGCAACTAGAATCAGACAGTGGTGGGATTAAGGCACCCCTGGGTCTGTGGTGTCCGCAACTGGAACAAGTGGGAGTCCTAGTTACCAGCTACTGGGGTAGGAATGCTGTGTGTCCCCCAAAAAAAGCCCAGGTAATGTAGGGGGGCGATGTCAGTAAGGGGAGTGAGGGGCTCAGTGCCCGCAGCTGAATTGGGACTGTGGGTCACAGGCCACGTGCCTGAGTGCCATGTGCCTGGCAGGGGGCAAGTGTTTGTATTATCCCTAAATCCAGTGTGCAGAGGGTGCTCTGGGCTAGAATGGTCACTGTCTAATAAAAGACTGGAAAGAAATCTGTGCAAGATATATGTGGTAGAAAGTCTAGTGGGAAGCAGACCAAAGAAAAACACTATTCAGATGCTTGTTATTTTAGACAGAGCAGTGGTCACAGAGGCAGCAGGTCCACTGATTTCAACTTGATATAAAGTCCTGCATTTAACTAGCACAGGAGGATGTAGATGTGGCATGGACTATTTACTAGATGACAGGTGTGTCCAAGTTAATGATTATCTTACCATCCTTCTTAGCCTTCCACTCCTCCAAAACCAAAAAGCCCCTTGTGTTTAAATTAGACAGAAACAAAAAGTCGTAGTCAAAAAGGAAGTGTAACTTTAATTGCAGCTGAGGAGTCTTTTGTTATTTTGACAGGGGATGAGAAAGAAAACCTTTGCTGACTGACATCCTTCTTGTACATCCTACTCCATTGAAGGGAAATAAATTGAATTATTCCAGCTACTCAAAAGATTTTACCTAGGATTATTAGATTAGCTGTGAGATTATAAATGGGCTGAATTTCATATGTGATATAAAAGAACGGAAGTAGGGTAGATTTTAAGTAGATGTGCTAGGCTAATTAATTCACAATGATTACTTAAATCCATCTCTGTGACTGTTTCATTCACTCACTAAGGTTCAAGCCATAGAAATCTCAGATATGCTTTCAGCCTTTCCTAGTGACTCACATTTCCTGAGCCATGCTCATGAAGCAGAAAAGCTCCCAATTTAATTAGAAGTTTACTCTTGCTGCAGTTAGTAAGTAAAAATATCATGTTAAAACCAAAAAGAATTATGTATTTTATTCTGCAGAGAATAGCCTGTATATGTACTGTTGATTAATACATTTATTCATTACTATTACATTTACACTATAGATAAAAATACTACTGGAAACATCACTTATTATTTTAAAAATAGTTTAATAATGCTACAAATTAATTCAGTTAAAAGAAATTAGTAGTAGATTTTAGAAATAAAACTGTCTTATCAAAGCAATTGCCTAGAAATTTTTATAGAGATGTGGACGTGCCTGAACTGTAATGAAGACTTAATAATTCTCTCACTTGTAGAAAATTAACAATTTTACTAACAGTTGGATGTATGGAGACACACCACAAAGAAAAAGCATTCTGTAGTGTTGAAAGGAAAGGCAGAAGAAAAGTAGAGATTATGGAGAACCCCACTTGTGCCTCTCAAAAACCCTGTTACTTACTCCATAATTTGTTTCTTTCTCACAATATACTATATGAAGGAGCTGAAACTCAAAAATGAAAATAGATTTCTCCTTCAATAATTAAAAAACAAAACAAACAAAACAAAACAAACAAACAAACAAACAAAAAAAAACACAACCCACACCACCACACCGGAAACTACTGAGGAGTATTAGAAACCTTCTATCCCACTAATACTGAATAAATACCTGGAGACCACATATCCATTAATCTGTAAAAATTTCAGAATATCCTGTGCTTTTTCTCTGTCCTTGGCTTTTTCTTTGGCTGTAAGCGTATCATATGGAACAAGAAGAGGATGGTTGCCTCCTCCTACTATGGAACATCAAGAGAATTAAAAAGCAGTTAAAGAGTTATCTGTTGACATGGTCAGTTTCAGCATGTAAAAGCAATGTCATAATAATACATAGCACATGTCAGTAAAATCTAGTCTGAAATAACAACAATGCAATTTTCTGTTTCACTACACAAATCTAAAAAAGATAGTTTCAGATAGAAAAAGTTTCAGATAGAAACTTCAGACATGACTACAAATATAATTCTAGCATAATCAATTGCTGCAAGTACCAGGCAAATATGTTGAACCTACTGCAAAAAAACTCTTAAAGAAGAAAAAAGTGCTTAACTAGTACGAATGTGTATTATAATTACAACTTCATTTCATATTGAAAATACTTCAATAAGTAACACACTGTTTCATAAGAAATCTAAGATATAAACAAATATATAAGCATATAGAGTCCTGTTTTTAAACATTCTGATGACAGCAAAAAGGTTTCATAGAGTTTAGCAAGATGTTCGCATAGCTAAAATGATATGAAAGTGATACCATTTTATTTTACAGTAATAAACTAAAGACAGAAAGTTAGACCACATTATTCAAATGTCGTTCAGACAACTGTCCAACCTGATCAAAAGATTGCTGCTAAAACATAATAAATTTCATTTGTATTGCTTACAAATAGCTGCTGTACTGATACCTCCCTGAATGCAGATAAGTTAATTTGGCAGGAAAATACAATCATTATTATTAATATAAATATCTGCATAAAAAGCAACAATCTTGGGATTTAACCTTCTAAATATCATCATCATATAGGGGAATACAATGACTTCCTACAATAATTGCTATGAAACCTCAGAACATTGTAAAGGTTATGATCAGACATCTCTCAGAAAAAATACCACAGCAAGTCTCTAGCAGTAGTATTTTAAAATAGGAATAAATTTCCTTTAGAAAATATTGGAAACATATCATTAGGTAATTTTATAAGCCATATATCCAAAAAAATTTCCATTAGTCCTGCCTGAATCCATATAAGTACTTGCAAAGTGATCGCCTAGTGGGCAAGTCTGATGATTGGGTTTCTCTTGTTTGGTTTGGTTTTTTTGAGAAAGTACAGCCTTTAGCATTGGAATGACTGGGTTTTACTCTATTGCCACAAACATGATCTAATTCCACCATATTACAGATGAAGACAGACATGAAAAAATGCATACAAGCCTGGTATGCACACGTGCCCTATCTATGGAAGCCATTAAGACTATAATAGATCGTTTGATTACAATTAATACACACAAAGTGTTCAATGAAGGGAAATGACACTTGCAATTTTCAGGTGGCTCACATTCTTGTTTATGTGAAAAGGCTTAAATGAAAATTAAGACGCATTAGAAGCATTCTGTACCTCAAGTCTACATTAGTCTGCTGTTCTTCATGTATAAAAAATGTTTCAAGACTAGCAGATGTATATACTAGAGGAAAAAATCACACTCTTGAGGGCCAGGTTTTTCCCAGCTGACAAATAGATCTACTTTCCACAGGAAGAAACTCTCCATCAGAAGCCTCTCCTTCATTCACTAGAGCTGCCTCTAGGCTTTCCAGCACTATGCTTCTTTGCACAACACTACAAATACTATACAGTGTTCTCATCGAAGTGTTGCTCAAAGGTAAAAATCTGCTTTCAAAGCTGACAAATACAGTAGACCCATTTAGACATCTAGTCCTCCGGTATCCTACAGTTTCCTGCACTTAGCCTATCCTGTGGCAACTCATTCTGAAAAACAGTTTTAAAAAGAAGGCTTTAAAAATGAAACCAAAATCTGTATATTTATAAAGGCATGGAAATTCATAGAGATTTATCAAAGGCATTTCCAGATGATGGAACTTTACTTTTACATAACACTAACTATGGTTCCTTTGCTGGAAGCCTACAACTAATGAATAAAGCAAGTACACAATAAAAAAAAAAAAATTTAAAAGGCCAACTTTGGTTCATACAGTTCAACTTGACACCTTTAGAACACCAAAATATAGCTTTATTCATTTTCAAATGAGAACTTGCTGTTTCTCCAAATATTGTTACCTCTATGTGCAAATATGCTCTCTGCAGAAAAAAATTTTGCTTTAACACAAAAAAAGAAATTATTTTAACACTAAGAAAAAGCAGCAAGCTATACATTACATGGCAAAATTTGTCATTTTAGTAAGCAGAGCTCATGGAACACATGCAATTTTTATGTGGAATCAAGAATGTGCTCTAAATTTACCCACTTGTCATTTAAATACACAATACAAGGAGCTGTTAGTAAACATCCATTTATATCCACCTGCAATAAAGAAGCAATTCAAATGAAATCAGATCTCTCTGAGCAATAGTTTGGAAGACTAATGCTAGAAGGAAAATCCATTAATGTAGCTTAAATTTATTTACAATCTTTGCCTTCTCTTCCTTTGATATATTTGAATTAGTAAACTACTTCAACAGGAACTGTTGAAACTGGTACATTCAGTACTATAAAAACTTCCAGGCACTAAAAATCACAAACTAGTAAATTAAGAACAGATACTTTATTGTTTCTTCTTTGTCAGTTTAAATTTTCTCTTAATTTTCAGTAATTCAATCTGTTTTCTCAAATATATGACCTAAACTAACCATAGAGAACTTAAAATACTATAAATACCTATAGTTAATATTACCTTTTGCTTCAAGCTCCATTTTCTTTTTCTTTGCCCATATGTTATGGTAGTTTTCAGCCATCATCTCAGCCATAGCCTTAAGAAAATGGAGAGCTTAGTAATATGTGTTGCAAAGGTTAACCCCCAAGAAGTTGATACTAAATAGCAAGCTTTTCTCTTTGGGAGGTTCAATACAATTACACTGGAATGATTCACTGAATGCAAGAGTTTTTGCTGAAAAGTTATGATATAATGTTTGGATAGGATGGGTGTAGCTGTATAGGTATTAGGAACCTGGTGCTGAAAAGAAAACAATAAGAAAAAGAAGGAACCACAAAGAGGGGTATAATCTAGAAAGAGTACTGGGGTGTCAGACAGGGACTTGACTCTCAAAACAGTGCCAGGAAGAACTCCCTGAAGGCTCTGGTCAAGGGCACTGAAACAAGACTGTTCCTGCTGCCTGTGGCAGGCTGACTATAAACCCATGGCTACAGCCTGATCGAGGTGAATACTCATTTGTGCAAGCACACTATTAAAAGCACCAACCATTTTACAAGAGACTCCATAGGTGCAGCTGTAGATTTTTATTGAGCGTGAAATTCTGCTCCAGTGTGCAGAACACAATACATTCTTTTTCTAAAACAAACTCATTCAGACTGGCAAACTAGAAGCTAGACCCCAAACCAAGCAAAAGACAGGAAAATACTCCAGTCTCTAGCTGGTAGGAACTATTATTTCAACATGAAACAACTTCTAAAACCCACCTCTCCCATTCTCCTGACTGCATACCCTCTGTTAGTACACAGTACTGGATTTTTTTGTAGATTTCACTTATCACTTCTATCATGAACCTACAGAAACATTGTTCCCATCTTCAGTATGCGTTTTGACTAATCAGAATTTCTGAATACTGACTTCTTTATTTGGGAGAATACACATGAATTCAGATAAACTGAAAACTTTGGGCCCTATCTTGTTTGTCTATAGAACAATTTGTTTCATAAACATTTCCCCACTGCTACATTATTATACGTCTCTCTCCTGTTACGGTAGATGTCTTCTGTCATGCACACTCCGGTCCTGGTGTCTTGAAAATCCAGATTGGAACCTTGGAAGAATATAGTGTAGTCTGTGTTTTCTTTCCTGGTAGGGCAGGGTGCTATGAAGACAAGACCTAGATACTCATGGAGCCAGGATGTCACCCGAATAGGAAGTATTCCCCAGACTTATGGTTTTAGATATGGTCATGATCCCTGCTAGCACAGGATATGCACAGGATGAGGTAAACAAGGTTGGAGAATCTAACCCTGAACTCTACTTTAAAAATATTAAACATCAGGAAAAGGTACAAAATTACATACAGCTCATTTCTAAAACCTAGATCTCATTAATACCTAACATGTTTGGATGTTTCCTGAATGACAGTATGAGGACAATTAATACCTGAAATTGCATTTTAATTAAATTGGCTTTGCTTTCAAATAAAACATTCTGAAGTTGGTTTCAAAGAAGACCTCTCTTTATAATTAAGGACAAATGAATCATAAAGCCAACCAGCTCTGCTTTATAGCTGCGGGCCACAAAGGAAATTAAATTAATGACAAATGTTAGAGGGTACAGCATAGGAGAGTAAACAAGGGAGTAATAGAATTTCTAATGCCATTTTTTTTCTGGTTTGTGACAGGCTGGTTTCTTTTCCCTGGGTTTGGTTTACTGCATCATAATACCATGACGATGCCCACATCAAGAGTTGTCTCACGAGCATTAAAAGTCTGCACAGACTTTTGGACTACACTGAATCTATACAAACATATAAATGATGTTCACTATAACGAAGCTGTTTCATTAGTTTAAAATATTAACTCTTTGGAATGATTAGCAATCTACTGAATGCTTCAACTCAGGTATGACAATTACTTGGCAACAAATACATATTATTGTAAAGCTGGTCAGAAATCTACAAAGGTTAGAAATATGAAAAGTAAACTACAAGAGAGAAATCAAGCAGGGGAAACCCAGTGTGAGAATATGATTGGAGGCACAGTACAGTAAATACTGTACAGTTAGACAATTACTTTACTACTGTTTGCTTGTTTCATTGCACTATGACAGAGCCAGCAAGGGCTAACTTAACCATGTTTTTCAGGAGTTTTTTTGTATCTAGCTTTGAACACCATGGTGCTACTACTAGACTGGTACAAACACTCATGCTAATTTAAAAGTATCTGATATCTGTCTATATAATATTGTAACCATATCTACAGTTTAATTAGTAAACTGTAAAAACTAGCACCATACGGCATCAAACACCAGGAAAAAAAATCTAGCTTTCTAATGACAGAAATCTCATTTGTTTGTCGGCCTAAAAATACTGCTCCAAACAACATAAATTTACTGACAGATGTCAAAACCTTACCCCAAACTTCTTCCTTCTGTATTCTCATTACATTTGTTTTAACAGTGGTTGCTGACTCTTATTTCTTCCATTTAGAAAAAAGAGCAATGACAAAAGATTTTTGGGAATGTGGTGGAGAAATAAGAGATAAACAGAAAAAAAGTTGACGCTGCAAGCTCAGGATTCTCTTCAAAATGACAGATGTTCACAAAGCGAGAAGAGAAATATCAATCCAGGACTGTAATAAACTTTGAAGCTTTTCAACATGAGTCATGTTTTTCAAAGCAACAAGGATCAAACAGAGGTGATGAAAAAAACCCAACCAACAAATCAAAGCGCATAAAAGAAAGTAACATAAAGCACAAAAATTTGTTTAAACCAGCAGAGAAGAAAAAGAAAACTAAAAAATAAAATAAAATAAAAAGTAGGCATATTGAGAGTTTCTGACTTACATGTAAATCTCTGGAGAGGGTGACATTGCTCATGTCAATTGCTCGAGGAGTGTAGCCATGGGCTGTATCTACAGAGATCTGAATGACAAACATGTACAACAGTAGAGTTATACAAGTATTTGACACAAAGTTAACCTAACAAGACACTGAAAGTAAGAATGAACTTGAGGAGAAACTCACTTGTATATCTCTAGAGAGCAAAGGGATTCTATGTAGCCCAAATGAAAATACATCAGAAGGTGGTAAACACGAGATTTTGGCAATAGTCTGTGTATTTTGTTCCTAAAGACAGACAGCCATCAGACACAAATCCTCCTCATCCAGTTTCAAATTTTACTTAAACGTCTTTAAGATTTGAACTCACTGTGGATAACGCTGTACCAAAGCTATGATTAAATCTCTGCATTTTCTAATTTTTTTTTTCCCCTCTGCAGGGAAAACCTCAGTCAACCTAGTTCAAGGTGAATTCAGGCAAAAGTCAAACTTTGAATTTGGCTTTTCAAGACTATTTCTACATATAGGAAGAGAATATACTAAATGCAATTCTTTTTCCTTCTGTCCCTCCTCCCCACATAGAAAACATCACCATTTTGTCATTCTTTCTTTCTGTTGCCTAAACAGTCTCAAGTTTGCTCATTACATTGACACAAACTTTCAGAGGAGGATAAATAATGACAGAGATTCTCTGGATGGCAAACCACTGATGCAACAAATGTAGCTAGAAAAGGAGCATTGCTGGGCTTTCCTCTAAGGACTCTGTTATAACCGACAAACTCAATCACCCCACAGTTACATCTTCCTTTGCAAAGACCAGAGTTAATAATTTTGTTCCTACATCCAGTATGATCTTCATATGCATGTATATGAGCATGTACAAAGCCTAGAAGTTAAAATGCCTCCTTTGAAAAGGCAACCACTTGCAATGGAGAGAAACACAAAGGACGTACAAGCAGCACATGGTGAACAAATAGTGATAAAGCATGGTTTTCTAAAGCAAGCACTGTTACATTAACATGAAGATACTGATTAAATATACTTAGAATTTCTCAGCTAAACACAGGAAAATGATATTTTGTATATGTGTGTGATGACAGCACAAAGTTTAAACAGGGGACATTAATAAGATAGTGTACTCTGAAATACAGAAATACTTTAGGCTTCAAAAACTCTTCTAGAAAAGTTATATGATTTCCTTATAGTAAGGTAAGACTATAACTTAGCTACAAAAACTGTTTTCATATGTTGATATAATTTAAATCTTGACTGTAAGGCTATTCACTCTATTAAGCTCCTTATGCTTTAAGTACATACTAATGTCTCTGTCGGTATAGTCTTTGGGGATGGTATTAAAAACCCCCAGAAGTCAGGAGAATTTGAAGTCAAGAATTTTGAAGGCAACTGTAGTGTGCAAATTATAACATGTAGTTTAGCCCAAGTGCTAAATCAAATCACTTGATATACACTTTCTAGTGTCTATAGAAAGTAAAGAGGCAGGCTAAACCGCTCATTTTTCACAGGCATATCACCACTCACATATGTAAATAGTGCAGAGCTGAGTGGAGAGAAGAGGGAAATATTTTTCCCCTCCATTTTATTTCCCCCATTGGTTTGGCTCCATGGGAGTCTGCATGAATGAGAAAGATTTTCTTTACAGTTTAATTGCAAAGTATATGACGCTCTAAATGAATATAGTAACAGTATTTTCCCATTTTATCTTTACAGAATTTTCATTTAGGAAAGCTAATCTAAAGGCAAAAAAAACCTGTCTTTAACATTTACAGAATTTTGGCTGTCTATAGAAGGAAACTACGCTGCAATAACACTTATGTTTGTATTAATTCTCCTTGGGGAAAAAAAAAAAAAAAAGAAAAAAAACAGTTCATATATGTACTTTTGTTTTTTTTTTTACAAGCTTAAAGGCAACCATAGCTGCCAAATTAAAAACCTAGCAGACTAAAATCATATTAATATTCACTATTAATGCATAACCACCTACTGATGTAAATAATTCCCCTAAATGATGGAGACAGTTATATCAAGGGAACAAACACATTCCTATTTCAGTATTGTTCAGTCTTTTTTTTAAAATGTTCATTAGCATATTACTTTGGAACAGGGAAAAAATGTTCCAGAGTCAGTGAACAGAAATCCAAACAAACCTTCAGAGTCACACAATTCCTTGTGAAAAAAGTTTTCACTTTTTTTTTTCTGCTATAGGTTTATTTCATTGCTTTTAAAATCAAAGAATGGATAGCAGATTTTGCATGCCCTTTTTTAAAATAATGTTTTTAGCAAAATGTCTCACTTGACTGGTTTGAGATATGCGGCGTGTCCGATTATAGAGTGCCATGGAATCTCCTTCCCGTGTCCTTTCGATTCGCCATCCCCACGCCAGCATAGTTTTTAGTGATTCTTTGATAGGCCATCGATAAATTTCTTTCTCCTAAAAGAACGCACATGCAATAATTGCTTTGTTTAATACATAGCTGTACAAAGAAAACAAAATAACTATTGGGGGTTTGCCTGGTTATACTGAGATTTTTTTTTCCAACTCAAACAATTCTGTAATTCTATGCAAAGAAATACTGAAATCAGCCCTTATGGCCCAGGGATACTTCAAAGAAGCAGATAAATCATATGATATTTAAAAGTTTATTTAGCATTTCAGAGGTGGGCAGAATTCTGGACCTCCAGGAAGTTGTTGATCACAGGTATAACCATGTTAATGGCATGCTTAGATATGAACTCAAAGGTGAAGCAGTAATTATCAGAAGTAACACAGAGTTTTGTCTTTTACTTGAAAAAAAAAAAAAATAGACAAAAAACAGTGACAGACTCACAAAAGAGTCCATGTTGGAATAGGCCTCTGGACATCATGTGTCTCAACCTTCTGTAGAGGTTAGATAAGCTAACCCAATTGGGCTATGAGCAGTTATCAAGATTAAGTCATCTAGGGTTTGACACATCATGCCTTGAACATTTGCAGTGAAGATGAATTCACCACTTTTCTGGACAACTTATTCCAATGTTTATGTTGTCAAGATAAGGATTTCCAGGAAGCATTTCTGCTGAAGCAGCTTACACTCATTGCCTCTTGTCCTGCCACTGTGCGTCCCAGTAAAGAGAATACATCCATCTTCTCTATAATATCATTTAGGTATTGGGAAATCAAGATTATATCCTTGCCAGCTTTTTCTCTTTGTTAAGCTGGACAAACCCTGTTCCTTCAGCCTGCCTTTATTTATCAAGTTCTCCAGCCTTCTAGTCATCTTTGTGGCCCTCTTCTGGAGACCAGGCAAAGCCTATACCCAAGTCTTAGCTAAGCAAGTAGGCACTCCTGTATGACCTTACTGTAAAAACATACTGGCAATATGACACTTCAGCTTCATTACAAGCTGTACCAAGTAGATTTAGTCATGAGAGAAAAGAAGTTGAGTGGCCTATTTATTGTACAAGAAAATCCTTCTATCTCTTTTTGAGATTTTGAGGAAGGCAACAATCAAACTTTACCTGATAGAGTCTAAATAAATTTTTCAAGTCTGTTGAAAACACCAGGTGATATTTTTACAGCGAATGAAGCAATCTTTCAATCACCTTGGACAAAGAATAAGCAAATTCCTTACCTTTTCGGACAGTAACTTATATTGTTTCATTAACGGTTGCACCTTTGCAGATTCAGAATATGTTTCACCATATGTCCATCCATTGGCAAACTGAAAACAGGAATAACAACAGGAAAAAATGGGGAAAATAAACAATTATGAAAAATCCTATTTTTATTGTTACAAAGGAACAAAAGAATGTTTCTGCAGAACTGATGCTGTTACAGTAAAATTTCCTTTCTACTATTTTCTCAACATTTTCACAACTAACATTTATATTACCTACACATAATGAAATTGATTATGTAGCATGCCACTTTTTTGAGAACTAACGATTACACAAAGCTAGCATTTCAAAACATTCTTCTTTTAAATATTTATATAGAAGCAGAATACTGTGCTACAGTTGAGGAATTATTTTTAGTATTGGACACCCAAACTGCACAAAGGAATAAAAAAAAACTAAAGATGTTTTTTGGTTAAAAAAATGAAATTTCCAGTCAACACAACTCTTAAGCAATTACAAAGTGTTTTTACTCAAAAGTCAACAAAGAAAATGATAAAATGATGAAACACTATTTTGAAATATTCATGTGCACTTACAGAACCTTCCCCCCAAATGCATTTCAAGAAAAACATGTTTATATCTTATATACCAACTTGTAGCTTGTAAAATCCTAATACTTGTATTGTTGGTATATTGTATATACCAATAATAAAATCCAGATTAAAATGGTCTAAAGATGAAATAGACTCAAATAAATTTGCTTTATACAGGAACATAGATTTACCTTTTCCATTGACCATTTGTCATGGGAATGTTCTGCATATTTATTAATAAAATATTCCAGCTTTTCAGGGATTGTAATGCTGAAAATTAAGAGAAAAAATAATCATTGTATCCTACATTCTAAAACGTGAATGATTTTCTTTTGAGGAAGACTTTCAAGTAAATAATTAGTAGAGCATACATCCATTCAAAGCATCTTACTGCATTCCATTTCCTCACATACAGTTTCCATCAAGCCCCAGCTAAATCAATTTTAAAAAAATGTGAGTTATTTAATGGGCTCTGAATGAGAACCACAGCTGTTGTAGGAATTTTTGTAGGAATTTTTCTTTGACACACACGTGCAAGGAAAAATCAATGATGATACCAAGCACTCATGTTTTTTGTCAGAAATTTCTATTGCTAACATTCATTTTCTGAAGATCAAAGATATAACCTACTCATAGCTTCAGAAATACAGTGGTAACTTATTGCACATGTCCATTATAAACTGGGTGTGTTAACAGTCCTTTTTGAAACATATAATGTATTTTATTTATTCCTATAAGTTGCACTAGGACAACTCAAAAGTTATAGGCTCAATGCTTTATTTTCCAACAACCTAGTGAATATTAAAAGTATTAAAATCGTTATTAAAAACAGAAAATTAAAAGCCCCTCAAATAAATACATCAGCCCTTCAACAAGTGTGTAAGACAGTGCAGAAGTTAAGGTATCTTAAGCAGTAAAGAAAAACCAGCTACCCATAACTGTCAAAGAAGCACTAGAAGCAGAATACTCTTAAAACAAAACAAAAAAACTTAGCAAATATCAGTATTTTGCTGCATCTGCTTTTCTACAAATGAAAGGCAATAATTGCTTCTTGATCACTTATGAAGTAGCAAAATCTTCCCTCATAAGACAGAGTATTTTGTCAGTAAAAGTGTTACAGTGCCACCTACTGCAGAGCAGAAGAGTCTGATTATTAATCTTCAGTCACAGAGTGGGAAAAAACAGAAATGTAAAACAAAATTATGTCACAGTAACAGTTTGCAAGAGCCTAACTAGATACAAAGGCCAGAAAATAAACATGCAGCACAGTCATAGGATATTTTTATTGTTTGTAGGCATGTACTTCAAGGGGAATTCTACTAATAGTATCATACTTAGTATCATTTCAGAAATGCAATAAATTGACAATTACAGTAAGGTCATACTTATAGATTCATATGAATAAGTCTAGGATAGTAAGCAATGTGATGCAGGAATTGCATATTAAAAGAATATAGGATAGACTGGAAGTGACCCAAATAAAAGCAGTGATTTCTTTGTCTTGAATCATCACAGAACTGCTGACTCCTACGGCAAGGAGCTGGCTCATGATTTAGGTTATGTTAAGTAACATTTTCTGAGTTTTTCAAATATGTTCTGGTTATCTACAATTTTCCTCTGAAATGATACCAGATTACACTGAACAGTTAAATGAAAGGAAAATATCTTCACTAAATTTTGTTAAATCTTTGTGTTCCTTAAATACATCTTAGACAAATGAATTTTAATGGTCACTTATGTGATTTCTATATTGCAGTCATATTACAGATTTTACTGCCATATTTAGATATGCATACATGTACAAACATATTGTGGCTTCAATCTGCTGAAGGCATTCTGTGTTCTGAATGTTAATACAGACAGAAATCTCACAAAGGCAATCAAATTAAACATCTTACGAGTGGCATTTTGCAAGACACAGTGCATAACCACATTGATGGAAGGCTATTCATACAAAAGACAACAGGGCGCTGGCTGTAGTCAAAAATCAGGGGACAAAAATCCCAGTCAGATATGTGTTTTGTCTAGCTAATACACTTAAAAGTGTATAGTCAGAGACTGACTGCCTAGACAGAATCAAGATCTTTTTGTCCAATTCCCCATTATTAATAGTAAGAGATTATATGAATGCAAGATCATCATCATTTTCTGTAAGTCCATTGTCATTACTGTCCTGGTGAATGTTAGCAATGACAGAGATGATGCACTCTACTTTGTCTGCTCCTAAAAACATGTTTGGTTATTTGTAGCAGACATACAAAGATAACTGGATAGTTCTATTTTCTGGCTGAAAATAAATTAAGAATGTTCTAGGTTGATGAGGAAATTGGTTACGTAACTGCATATTCATTCCTTTATATGATTCAAAAATAAATACCTACATAAACATAAAAATATAAAGGTCTCCATTTTATCTAAAGATAAGCAGAAGAGAAAAAGAAGCTATAAGTTCACTTCATACCCAACAACAGACTTCATTCCTCTTCCACATTCATGATAGAAATATCTAGTTGCAAAAAAATAATTCCTTACTTTGATGTATCAACAGGTTGAGGATTAAAATTCCCATCTGAATCCATTGAAGACTGTTTTTCCATCATATTGACATAGTTTGATTCCATGTAGTCTGGAGGTAAGGCCCCTGCAACTGCACTCAAACAAGGCAAAGCCAATTTGAATAGTTCTTGGTCATATTTCTGTGGAACACACAAGGGATACAAAGTGAGCAGTGAATGGAAGATCTCAACATCACTGGTGAAACTGACAAAGCTGTATGTGAAACCACGCAAACACAGAACGGTTTCTTACTCAGTGTGAAAATAAATTTTTGTTCTGAAAATAAAGGAAACAGACTGTCCAAAGCATATTATATGCCATAGATAAAGCCAGGATCAAGTCATGTTCTTGCTGAAGAAAACAGGCAAAGTTTGACTCCACCTAGAACAAGACTAGGCATTCTTCAGATGTCTTGGAAGAGAACATAGCAGAGGAATCATAGAATCATTAAGGTTGGAAAAGACCTCTAAGATCATCAAGTTCAACCATCACCCATCACTACCATGACCATTTAACCGTGTCCCCAGGTGTCACATCTACACATTTTTTTAACACCTCCAGGGATGGTGACTCCTCCACCTCCCCATGCAGCCTGTTCCAATGCCTTATCACTCTTTCAGTAAAGAAATTCTTTCTAATACCTCCCCTAGCACAACTTGAGGCCATTTCCTCTTGTCCTGTCACTAATAACCTGGGAGGAGAGACCAACACCCACCTCACTACAGCCTCTTTTCAGGTAGTTGTAGAGAGCAGTAAGGTGTCCCCCTCAGCCTCCTCTTCTCCAGACAATCCCAGTTCCCTTAGCTGCTCCTCTAAAACATATTCCCCAGACCTTTCACCAGCTTCGCCACCCATCTCTGGATCCACTCCAGCACCTCGGTGTCCCTCTTACATAGTGGTGCTCAAAACCGAACACAGCACTCAAGTTGTGGCCTCACCAGTGCCAAAAACAGGGGCACAATCACTTCCCTACTCCTGCTGGCCACACTATTTTTGATACAGACCAGTATAACATTTTTAAATGCCTAGATTTGAAATGAAGATAATGAAATTTTAAGCAGGTTGTTTAAAAGTACTCACTGAATGAACAATAAATACATATGAAGTGTATTATTAAACTTTTGTCCAACACAGGACTGAGTCAAGAGTGATGAAATTTCAACTAATAAAGCAAGAGAGTAGTGATTTGTTTAAGGAAGAACAGCATGTGTGGTAGAAAAGTACATATTTCAGTCACCTGCAGATGCTTGAATTTGCTTTTAGGGTTCTGAAGTGTAGCTGACCTGTACAGATACAGCTTCATTAGCTATATGTTTTTTTTTTAAATGAGCAGATAAAATGCTGTACCAACTTTAAAGCAGAAAGAGCTATAAGAGGGAGATTTAAATTTACTATAGTCTATATTTTTTCTTAAAAGTGGACAATACAGTGTTAATACAAGCTGGGTAAAAATGACAGATAAAAAAAAAAGTTACGCAGTAAGCTTTTACAGTAGTACATTGATATTAAAATTCATTACCTTTTGAGACAAAGCATCAAAAATACCCCAGAACAACTTTCTGGATAAATGAAGTTCTTCTTCTGAGGCAGTACCAAAGTTACCCCATCCACCTGGCAAACAATAATACTTCCAACATCGTTCATAATGATTTGTCAGCAACTAAAACAGAACATATTTTGAAAGCAAATAAAATATAAGTGTTGATGTTCTTCCATTCTGGCACTTGACCATTACACAGGCATTGTCAGAAAAAAAAAAAATCTAACTTTTACCACAAAGCTCGGTTGTGTATCAGTTGTTTAAATCACTGGTGGATATACACATAGAAAGAGCAGCTCTCCAGTATCTAATCTCTTCTATGAGCTGTAAAACCTGCTATGAGTCTACCCTCCTGCCCTCTATTGCAACTGGCAGAGGAGCTTTATCCTGTCTCATTCTCTTTCATTAAATACATATTTCAGGGATACCTTCTTCTCAAGTGGTTACAAGATTCCACATTATCAGGGACTCAAATGGTGCAAAGACCTACTACTGGGTATTTGCTAAACTAAAACATCACAGATTTTGCACCTGATGTGTCCCCTATGTTTCTAAGTCATAGACAAGTACAGGAAAAATTAGTTGTACAATTCTTAGTAAAGACAATCCCAAACAACAGATTTGGAAATAGCAAAGTATGACAACCTAGTCCTACTCAGGATTACACTTTTCTACAGCACAGAATGATCTTTCTAAAAACCACAGCTGGAACTTTAGTTCAGAGTTTAACAGTTCCTCAGAGAAAAAGAGATTTGTTTCAACATCACTTTGCAAAGTATGTTGGCAAAATATTAGAAGCCACGGTCAGTAAAGAGATGACAAGTTTCCCTTTTTACTAGTCAGAACAAATGCCAAAACAGAAAAATGCAGATATTTATAACGTAAATGTGCAGAAATAAAGACCATCAGTAAAAAAAAAAAAAAAGTCTTGATATGTAGAAGTATGGATTTTGATAGCCAAAAATATAACCTCAACACTTCTATACTTTCATAGATCAGAAAAGTAATCATACTATATAATGCATTTGTATATCTCCAGATTTAAATAATCTGTTATTATGTGGTTACTATTTAAATTGTCAGATGATTAAAGAAAAAATGGAAAGAACTTACCTGGATATATAATGTACAAAGAAAAGTTTTATCATTCACATAGAAACACAGAAGTCTCAAAACTATGGACTCTAACAGTCTAAGATGTATCTGAAAATGTCTGTTTTAAAAATAAACTATATTACACAATGGCAAACTTCAAGTTTGCTTTCATCCAGTGTATGAATGCTAATATGTATGTATATATTTTCAAATCCAGCTAAGAGTAAAGGCAGGCTTACTCTTAGAGAAGTCCCCAGTCAAGCACTGAATATGATTTAGGAGTAAACAAAAACAGGGTAGCTCTTTATCTTTAGATAAAGAGTTCACTTTCCTCAGAAGCTTCTATTATTTCTTTAAGTGTCAATGGTTAAAATCATTTGCACATGCTAACACCATGGTTCTCCTCATATCTATGCTGTCCCAAAGCCTGACTTGCCAAAGGGATCTAATTATTATTTCCTGCTGTCCTAGATGAACAGATCTCAGGGAGGTAGAGTTGCCCTTCCCCAACCCCCACTGCCCTCCCTCCCCCCCCAAAAAAAAAAAAACCAGAAAAAACCCCACCAGAAGTACCACAGCCATGCAGAGAGCAATATGTTACTATTTAGGTTTTTTCAGAGCATAAAATGTAATAAATATTAGAAAGAGCTCCTTCAGGGCAGTATACTAAACTATCAACTGCTTTTCTCACAGATAGGCACTAAAGAACGTCTGCTCTGGCATCTTCAGTTTCATTGAGCACTTCTTGGGAAAAACAACTGGATTCTGAAGTTCTTGGCAGAGGAAAGACCATGCAGTAGGTCCTGCCTTTGAGACTGATTTAAATTCCTCATCTGAGATCAGAGACCATTATCTGGCTAGTAGAAGCCTGTGTAATTCAGAGGAGTAGCTTGGCAAAGAAATCAGACGTAAAATGCAATTAATCCTGGTATGTGCCTTTTAAAGCATAAAGAACTATCAAATAAGAAAAGATTAAATAGCTCATTCAAAGTTGTGGTGCAAAATCATTAAAAAGGACTGCTTAAACCCAGCAGTAGGTGGAAAATGACACGTCTCAGAATTGCTGATGAAATCTGAGGAATCTTTAAGCAATGTGTCATCTCAGAAAGGAAAAAACACATTTCTTTTTTTCTTGTGCATTAGGAATCAAAATCAAAATATATGGAGACACTTTTGGGGGCTGAAAACAAAATGGAAGATGATTAAAAGACATGTATTGCTTAGATTTCCAAGCAGAAACCGCAGAAAAAGAGTTTGTTTTCCAAGAGCAGGGAAAGCCAACACAGGACAGAAGTAAGACTACATACATATTATTAGCTGCTACCTTCTTTTGTGGATTGGATTCTGCTCCTGGAAAACCAGAAGAGTTTTTCTATTTGTTTCTGTATATGCTTAAAAATGAAGGAGAGAACTAAGAGAGAAGCAAACACTAGACACAGACTTCATAATTCCATATGGATGGGTGTAATTTAGACTGAATTGCTGCTGAACCAGGAATTTATCTTTAAGATCTATGGCCTTAGATTACTGCAGAGTGTAGATAAGGTAACAAAGAAGATAGAGACTATTCTCCATGCAAGTGTTTTGTGTTGCATTCTGTTACAAGGACTGCTGCTGAATATTAAAATATACTTTTACCTTGAGAGGCATCTTGGCATGTTCATTTAACAGAGGAACATCAAATACTAATCTTCTTAGCAAATGCTGCATCATGGAAGGCCGCAACTGCCTAAAAGCAGACAAACCATTTCAAAAGGCTGTACCAGTAGTTTCATGTAAATAATTAATAAATATATTAAAGCAATCTGTCAGTTCTATGACGTTACAATTTTTCAAATTCATTAAATTAATAGGATTTTGCTTGTGGCACTAAAAGAATGTGTCTGCAAGAAAGCAAACAAGTGCATACCAAAGAAAACTTTCTGAATAAGCTGCATATCAAATGCTTTAAAGCATCTGATCTATAGACAGAGAAAATAATGAAATAAAATAAAAATCTGTGGTTTGATACTGTGTATTATGATGACCATGCCCATGAGAGAAGACTAACATTAATTTCTTGGAATATATCTCAATGGCTCTTAAAAGTATCCTAGAAACTAACAAAGACCTAAGAGCACTAAATCTTTAGATGTACTAAACAAGACACGCAGCAGCGTTTAGCAGTGGACACCAACTGGAAGGACTGAAGAAATAGGTATAATGTATGTTAGAGTGGCATGTATATTAAACTTTTCCAGATCAACAGCAAACACTTGTACATTTTATTGGCTATAGATATGAAATGGTCAATTTGATTTATTTTATAGAGAAATGCCATACAGTACTTTTTAACAGTACTGTAAATGCCATTTCTGAACACATTTCTACATTATGCTAAAAACCCCTATGGTGAAATATTAAAAGCACCTCTGGTGATTTGAAAGCCTAAGTGTTGCTAACTTTCATCAGAAATTGAATCCATAAGTGCCTAGTCAACTTCTGGTGATTAAGCCTGTAGGGTTACTAAAAAATTGGGTAATAATCAACTGGTTTTGAGACTGCAAATACCCAGAAAAAAATTTGTCCTGTAGGTCTCAATAATGAAGTATAACAATACTAGTCATTCACTAAGAATCACATCATTAGGGGTTGGAAGGATCCTCTGGAGATCATCGAGTCCACCCCCCCTGCCAGAGCAGGACCATCTAGTCTAGGGCAGGTAACACGAGGAACACATCCAGACGGGTCTTAAAAGTCTCCAAGGAAGGAGACTCCACAACCTCCCTGGGGAGCCTGTTCCAGTGCTCTGGAACCCTTACAGGAAAGAAGTTCTTCCTCATGTTGAGGTGGAACTTCCTGTGCTCCAGCTTGTGACCATTGCCCCTTGTCCTATCACAGGGTACAAGTGAGAATAGGTTGCCCCTTCCTTCTTGACACACAGCCCTCATATATTTACACACATTGATGAGATCCCCCTTTCTGCAGACTAAAAAGACCCAGGTCTCTCAGCTTTTCCTCTTAAGGCAGGTGTTCCTGTCCCCCAGTCATCCTTGTAGCCCTCTTAGGAAATGTAGCACACCATAAATAAAATCTCCATAGAACTATATAATCTACTGATCATCAACTATATTGCCAATGTGTAAAGCTAAAAGTATTTAAATGGTACTTCAGTGTATGCATAATTCCACAATTCCAGAGCTTTGTCTTTTTGCAGTATATTCTCTTAGTTAATCATCACAGTTCTAGTTCAAAAACCTTGGTAATACCAAAATAACAGAGGACTGCATATAAGTGATTAATAAAGTCATAAATTGAATACAGTGTATTTAAAAACATCACAATCATCTGGCTGGGAAAAAAACTCTTAATTATACTACAGGTGGCATAGTTCTGCATTTGTGTATTACAAATACCAGCAGTAAGTTTATCAAACAGCATTCCTGTACAGCCAGGAGCATTTTCTTACCCACAGATAGACAGCAAACACTCTTCAATAGAATCTCGCTGAGCTTTGGTAAGAGAGCATCCCTTTGAGAGTCTGTACACAGTATGCAACAAGGAGTCAATGAGGGAAGCATGGTGCTCTGTGCCAGCAAAAAGAGGAGCACATCTGGTCAACAGAGGCAAGACTGCTGTGCAAAGGTATCGATTCAGAGCCAAAGCCATATCCGTAGCACTTAAAGCAGCCTATGAATTAAATGGGACAAAAATTAGATTGGTCTCATCAATGTTGTTACGAATTAAAATTAATTATTTGATTTTCTTTTGTAGTTGCTATAAAGAGTATTAAGTTATAAAGTGTTCCAAAATACACAAATAAGGATTTGTTACCTACTGGAAGCTGGATGCCTATCTTCTCTTCCTGCTGCTAGTACCACAGATGGCTTTTGTTTTGTTTTGAATAAGTGAAAACATAAACACTAAAGGTAGCCATTCAAAAGCAAATCAATTTTCAAGAATGTCATAGCTGCATAACAGAACACTCCAAAGTCAGTCAGGTATGTATTTACAAAACTCAGCATGTTTCTGTGTTACGGTCAAGCCTAAATTCCAAGTGAGGCAAAAATCCTCACCTGCTCTTTCTTAAATAACAACAATTATTTTCAGAAAAATGTTGATATAAAAGGTCAAGTAGGGAAAACATAGTCCATGCGTTAGCTCATATAAGCGCTCTAAATCTGATCATTCTGGATGAAGCCATCTAAGAAAAATTAGATGGAAATAAGACTCACAGGAATAGAAAAAAAAAAGGCAGTGATTCTGACGAGGAACTGAAACAGAAAACAACAGTGCAGATGACCCTAACAAATGCACAGAGATGAACACCTTCTGTGTACGTCTGGAAACAGGCTCTCAGTTACATGTTCCATTGGCAGCTTATCTGATTTTGATTCCATAGCACAAGCTCAAAAGGTATCTTGGGGAAAGGCATTGCACCTCTTATGGATATTGGAGCTCTTTATAAATGAGCAACATTCTGGACAATGCATCTTCTCTGTTCTTTAAGTATTCTCAAAGCCCAGCAACAACATCCAGCATTTGAAAAATGCAGAAAACAACACGAAGAAATAAAGAGAGGTTTTTCAAGGGGTGAAAAATGCTGTATTGGTCAGTAAGATAACAGAACAAGAATAACAACTGACTTAAAAACTTACTGTATCTAAAGAAGCAGCAGCACGAAGATCTGGCAGAAAGCCAACTTCAAGAAGGTGTAGAAGAAAATCTTGGTCCTCAATTCCATAGACCCTGTCAAGGAACAAAACCATGGCTGCCTTGTGATCTGGGCAAAACCCCGCAGACATGTCAGGTTCCACCACAGTACCATCTAAAAGGAAGAAATAAGATTTCAATGACAAGGATCATCCTTCACCAGCAGACTAGGCAGTCATGTTACTACTTGTCAGAAGTTTTGAGTCTCTGTTAATATCTAAGCGTCTTTCCCATGGTTTTGTTACACAAAGGCAACGTATTTGTAGTTAATTGAAAAATAATTAATAAGGCAAATTCTACCCAGATAAACCTCAAAGTCCATACATGCTTTTCTGTTCATGTTTTCTGCATTAAGAGATTCTTATCAGTTGATATTCTGATATGATAAGTACCCAAAATACACTAATTCATTGATGGAACCACCTAGTTCTCAGAAGCAGCAGACAGAAAGTAAACGATACAACAATTGTACATCAAACACCTTAGAAATGCAACACTGGTGAGCATATCTGTAGTGTATAACAATGAATTAAGATGATACTAGAAAGTCCTCTGCAAGAAAACTTCTGAAATATGTGAAAGAAATTTGTTTAGATATTTTTAAAGTTTGATAATTTCATTTTCAAAACCAAATAAAAAATTTTGTATCTATGAGCTGTACTCCATGTTACTGAGATATCACCTATAGTCTGGAATTAGAAATAAATAACAGTGGAATGGTCTTTTTATCTCTTCTGCTAGAACCTATTGTGCGTTCTTGTGTTTTAAGTTCCTAGGCAATCCATGCTGTATTTATAATGTTCTCTCTTCATATATCCAAAAAAGCAGATGTAATTCTGTTTCTTTTACACTAGTGCTTACACAGTTCCCACTATTACAGTCAATTGTACATAGGCAGAAAACAGGAATAAATGCATTTGCATATGTACATCACACCTAAAACTTCACCATAGTTGCTGAAAAACAACTCTGGTGTCAGTAAGATCTGCTAGAAGCAATTGATAGGGTTAGAACAGCAAAAGCTAAGGATTATGTATCAAGAAAAGAGACTGTATTTTTTACAAATATTTTAGAAAAACAGAAAGTATGCATTTTTAAATTTCTTTTTAAAGTTTTATCAGATTTTCATGATTCATTTTAAATGATTGGGATTTACACCTGTGATTTAAGTGTACACAGAACTACTGCTTATAACATGCAGAAAAATTTTTGAAACATTGTTAAATACACAATTTCTCATCTAATTCACAATAAATGTTTTAATTTCTGGAACGTTTTTAAATACTGAGAGATATATGAATATCAATACGACATTAAATTACAAAACATAAGAATGGGATGAGAGAAAAAAAAAAAAAGTGGAATAATTATTTTACCTTTAGCTATGGTTGGCATGTGGAAAGGAATACTAATTACTCCTACCAAATCTTCTAGTGGAATCAAAGACCGTAGAATTGATCTGATTCTAATGGCTTCCCCTTTACCAGCATGGATAAGCTAAGGAAAAAAACAAATAAAAAATTAACAAGGTCTTTTTTTTATCTTCTATATCTGTTCATGTTCTGGAAACTTCTTGAATCATAGGTACACAAGAATGACTGCTCTCCAAATCGCTTTATAATTAATAATGTAAATTTCATGCAATCTGTATTTATTTGCTGTATTTTGGATGCAAATACACAAAGTCTAGAAATTGAGATTATTGGCTATTAAGCACATTTTCAGAAAGGAATATTAGGTAGAATAAGTGAACAAAACATTAAAATGTATTTGGGGAGAGGGGGCAGAGTGGGCAAGAAGGGGGAGAACAAAATCAGATTTTCAAATGAAAAAAACCTAGCTTTTCTGTTGTGTCCAAAGAATACTTGCAAGGTATCCCAGTTGTTTCAGTTTTGTTTTTTAAAAGGCATTCATTTGTTTTTTAAAAGGTATTCATACACTGACCTTATTATATGGATATCTCTGACTCAAGTTACCAGCCTCTGCACAAATCTGATACTGATCTATATTGATACGTATGAATTAGGGCACATTTCAGGGTGCAGTGAGAAACTGTATAACTAGAATATAAGTAGAATTTCTGAAGAACAGCAAAGTATTTTGAATTATAAACAACAAATATTTTCAAATAGTTTAAAGCTTTAAAGAACTAATTGGTAAGAGTTTGGTTTTTATAGTGTGTCTAATTCTTTAGATATAATGCCTCAAATAGCAACAATCTTACCTTTGAGAAGGTTTGGCATTGTGAATAAAGGTTATGATATATTGATGTGTATGTCCAGGGACAATGTTTATTCCTACATTTTAGAATAATGCCTTAGTCTTTTATATGCAAGATAAACAGTCTGTTTAAATAAATATAGGAAGAAAGTAAGGCCATGGTTTAAAAAAAAAACCCAAACACCTAAATCACTCTACACCACCAGAATAAATAGGGAGATTTGAGGAGTTTAATTGTCACAACAAACAATTAAACAATATTCGTGACAATGTAGTTGAAGAGCAACCACAGGGAACAGTAATAAGAAAAGCAGTGGAATAATTTGTTTAACAGCTTCTGAAGTTTGCAGAAATTACTTGTGAATTAGCACATGAACACATTATGTACATTAAGATACTGTGTAGCCATACCACTGCTTTAATACCTGATAGTGTGTTACTGTGAAAAATTTCAACATAAACCATGAAACGATCAGTAAAACAACTGTGCCTTGAACTTCCAAATGTGTAAATACATAAAACTTACATGCATTTCAGGGGCACAGCGTCCTAAGAGATCAATCAAAGCAGCATAAAAGGTCATGATTGCATTTCCCATGTGAATAGTGTCATCTTCTTGTTCTTCCATTTCACTGTAAATAATTGTTAAAACAATTAAAAGATTAATAAAATAAAATAAAATAAAAAGTTTTTACATGAGCAATAAATAAAGAAATTCTACTTAGACGTGTAACAGCTTTCACATAGTAGCTTCCTGTTAACTAGTGGACTTTTAGCAGACAGAGAATGGAATTTGTCCCCAGAAGACTGTAGTAACATCTGCATTGTTATCATTTATCTGTCTTATTTTGCATCAGGGGACTGACTTTAACTGCCTGACAAAGAACAAACACAATTCTATAGAGGATTTAATGTTTAGAGCAATAGTTAATTTAACAGTGCAGAGGAAGCGCTATTTGGCAGAAGTCAAATCTTTACCCTCCATAGAATCCAAGGAAGAATCCATAATTTGCATGGTAAAACAAGCAAGTAAATTAATGAGTAAGATTATAAAACAAAAAGGTTCACAATGTAAGCAATTCCACGGCACCTACAGGGTTTTACTAGATCCATTGCTTGGGGAAGGTCCATCTCTTGTTGGATCTTCTGATATTTGTATTGCTTCCTCCATGGCAGCAAGTAACCCATTGCCTCCTTCTCCTCTTAGAGCTGGACCAAAACATTCGGGTCGACGGATAAGCAGTCTGACTACAACATTAGCATTTTCCTCCACACTCTCTCCTATCACATAGAACAAATACCAAGATTTAAGATTATATCTAAAAGGCTTATGAAATACAATCAGAAAAAGGTGCACACAAGTGCGGAATGTATCAGTAGATACTTTTCACTAAAAAAGTTTCAATATCATGACAAAATTACCTCAACAAACATACGTTTTATTATTTCAATAAAAGCTATGAAACAAACCATAATTTAATTCAAAATTAAATATACCCAAAGAAGTCCCTACGTAATAAAGGATGTTTAAAGCACCACTGAAGCTACCGATTTGTAGTAGTCAGGTGAGAGAGTTAATGAAGGGACCAATATAGCTGCTGAACACTAAAATTGGACTATCTAATTCTTCATCAAAAGATGGGAGGTTTGGCTCTATTGTGACTTTTATAATAAAAAGATTTAGGACTCTCTGCTCTATTTCCAAAGGAGATGTAAGAATTTCAAAGACTAAAGATGGACATAAAAAATGAGGCATAGTCTCATAGGGCCCAATATGATTTGTGAAATAGGCATCTAAGTTACTGTGTTTCTTGCATAACTGGACTCTTTCTGCAAATCGCCCTTAAATTTAGAGTAACATATCAAGTTCACTTATATTATTATTTTAAATTACAAGCTTATTTGAACAATAGAGGAAGTTATACAAATTTATAGGCTTATAGTCTACCATTGCAAAACACAGCAAAACGAAGAAAATCCAAATATCGCTCTCCTTCAACTGGGTTCCATCCAATGTCTGGGTAGCCTTTAGATATCAACAAAAGACAACTCTGCAATCCACATCCAGCCAAGTAGCGAACCACCTAAAAGTAAAGTAAGATAAAAAATACTTTCATTGTGAAGAAAAAGAGAAGTGCAGTTTCAAAGTGAAGCATCCTCATCCATTGTGTCCATATGGTGTCCAATTCTTTTCAGCCCTGACAAAACCATTTCAGATTTGGGCAAATCAGAAGAGCAGCCTCTTTGTTAGTTCACTCTCCCAGTCTTTTCCTACTTCTGCCATGAACTGTGAGACTTTACTTACCTCAATTCCATTTTTCTTGTTTTAAATCACTGCTTTGTAATCCACACCTCATTTCTCTTGCAGATCTGAGTGTTACAAATTAGTCAATTTTCTAGTACTCTGTAACTACACATTTTCCATATTTGAAAACACATCTTCTAAGATAATTCACAGGTCTAATCTTTTATTTTAACCTTTCCTTTTCACTTGCTTTTTTTCTTCCTTTCTTCTAAACATAAAGTAGTAACACTCCCTGTAATTCAGGCCTACAGTCTCTGCCAGCAGGA